AAAAAAAAAAAAAAAGAATAAGTAAAATGAAGGCGTTGACTACATATTGGAGAGCAAGAAAGGTATCAACAAATAAATAGAATCATTTTAAGGTAAAACAGAAGTACCATGGACAAGGCAGCAGCTACAAAATCATCCACACGCTCGTCAACATTGTAATCAAATAAAGTGATATCATCCTTCAATCAAGACAGGTAGAAAATATCAGCATTGTACAATATAAATGTTGGTGTCTATGTCTTAGAGACAATTATTTTGAAGAGAAACATAGTTGATCACATTTGTGATACATTTGATGTATATTATTTTGCACAGTTTAATTTATTGTTTGATTAGCTGCAGTTAGTTTTACAGTGCTCTCTTTAACAGAGTGAGGCGGAGTGAGATATAAAGTACAAGTCTTAAATTTCCCCATTGACATCACTAAGAAAGATACTAATGATACTCCATAGATTAGCATGTGAGTATGTTGACCTGCATTGGTTACTCGTCATGGGCACAAGGATACTTCGAAAGTATTGTTCTATTTGTTGATGTGCCTATGGAATTATGGGTGTATGGATAGTGTAATAATACTTTGATTTGATGCCAATACACATATAATTTTTTAAGGTGTGTCTATCGAATCACAATCTTAAGGATTTAAACTTTTAACGCGTGTCTATCAAAGGACTTTATTTTATCGCATATTAATGGTTGACTTTTTCTTAATATATTCGAACACTATGTCAAATATAATCGCTTGCATTGACTAACGAGTTATTAAACTCAATAGAGATGATGATTGTTCTCTAAAAACTATATTTAAGAGATAATCATCATTTTAATGCAACTAAAATTTGTATGTATATCGTGATCAACTCAGTACAAGCCTATATGTATTCCATAAGAGCGCAAGTGTTGAACTTTGCCAAACCGAATTAGTTTATGCCCTTTATCCTATTTGTTTTTTAATTGGATATCCATATATCATTTTTAAAAATGCCTAATATTTATTTTATTTTTTATCCTTTAGATATAAAATATATTAAATTTATTATATTTGACACATGCATTATACATATATAAGATAAACTAATATAATTATTTATATTGATATAAAAGGAAATATATGTATTTGTCAATACAAATTTAAACTAATTTGTAATCCTAGGATCATCTCATAAATAAATTATAAATGCATTTTAAATCAAATTTTAGTAAGCATAAAATAGCATAAGACAAATTTATGGTATATTTATCTTACATAGTTGAAAACTTTATGAAGAAGTACAAAATGCATGAAAACGACAACTATTTTCAACATCAAATGTGACATTTAAAGAAGAGATATATGAGTTATAAGTTGAAATATTGCCCAATAATTGTTTGAAATGTTAAATTATAATGTTCAAATGTTCGTAATATATTTTTTGTGATTATGAAAGCGAGGAAGTTAATATAAAATTTATTAGACCCTATATAAAAGAAAGTCCTAAAATTTTTATTATTAGAAATAATAAAAATTACATATTAACTGGATCTTAAACTACTATATATGATTCAATACATATTTAAATAAATTTAAATATTATTTATAGTATTTTCTTATTTAATTATATTATTTGTAATCTAAAAATTAACTAACTTAGATAGCTTAAACTAAAGAATTGAGACCATATTCAAGCAACATAAATATATAAATATGTACAAAATAAATCACATAGTGATATAAATATACTCTAATACTTTCAACAAATAAAATCTTATGTGAAGAGAGTCGAGATGAGATTACTGCTAGGACTTTGACCTTGTAATTTTATTAAAAAAAAGCCTCCAAAAGTCCTCTAACTTAAAAGTCTCACAAAGTCTTCATATTTTGAATATAAGGTAACTTAAAAACTATTAGAAAGTTTTAATTGAATACTTTGAGACTTTTAAAGATTTCTAAATGGTTTTACAAGTATCAATTGAATATATGTAGATTTTTTAAAAGTATTAAAAAGTTCAAATTGAATACACAATAATTTTCCACAAATTTTTATCCTCACTAGATCTTTCAATTCAAATGCAACATAAGTAACATTGCTTTCCTTTTTGTCTCATTTTTTTCAGAGTTTTATACAAGTTTTTATTAGCATTCCTAAATTCGCACACCAACAAACTATTTCTATAGGTTTAGTCAAATGAAATTATGGCTCAAAATGAGGAAAAGTTCTTGTTGATACACATGAGATCATGAAATGATCTACCGATTTTATGATTAGATTCAAAATAATAACCAAATTATATCATATAAAAAAATATTTTGATATGTATACTTATATAATGACAACTATGTAAATAGTTATTAATCTATATGATTAAATTATCTATATTCATATTAAACTTATATTTTAAAATTTAAGTGAGGGTAATTAATTCAATTGTCAAAATTATATGTGACACATACAACTAAAAAATATGATATTAAATATTATTTTATATAAAAAACTTACATTAATGTTTTTGAAGTCTAAGACCAAATGAAAATCTCTCACTCAATCAACAACATAAAGAGATAGAAGAATCGACGCATTTATATTAGACATTGGTTTGTTGATTTAGCTATTTTGTTTTCTTTTCATTAAAAACTCCATTTCTTTATGCTACCAACATGATGCTATTCTATTTAAATTTGCTCTAAGAACTTATTGTATTCTTTGTTTTTATATTACCTCATTGAAACGATTAATGAACTAATTATTTTTCTTTGCTACAAAATTAATCAGCAAAATATTAGTCATTAAGTGCATCACACGTGCACGTGCACTTTTACAGTATACACTAGTCGATATATATATAATAAGAATTACTATTTACCAAATATAGTAAGCAAAAAAATCTGCAACATTAATTGCATACCATTTCGAGCAAGTTTGTTTTTATTTTTTATTTATTTAAAGAGAAACACTTAAATATGCCTTCAATTACGGATACTTAGTTTTGTTAACCAAATTGCTCAATTTTGGTACAAATAATACTTTTAAAAATTTGAGTTTTATTGCAATACCATTCTTTTTTATAATTAATTGATATCAACATTCATTAACTTGGGGAAAAAAACTTGCAGATTCATAACCCATAAATTGTGTGCAATTCACCAAAATCAATGCTATCACATAATTAATTGTCAGATTTGTATGTTTTCAGCCGAGTTGAGTTTTAAAAGAAAAAAATCATTTGGATGCCAAAAGATTTTGTGTAACAAAATAAATTTGCCGATAAAAAAAATAACAAGTCTACCGACACACACTCAAATTCTAAGAGTTCTTTTGACTAATTGTAAACATCCAAAAAATCCGAACATAAAAGTACAAAAATCGAAGATAAAAACCTTAAAATTAAAAATTCCACATTTCTTTTTCGAGTAAAACAACTAAAATTAACAAAATCTACAGGCGCAAACTCAAATTTGAAGGATCCTTTTGATTAATTGTAAAAACCAAAAAATTCGAACACAAAACTACAAAAATCGAAAATAAAAACCCTCAAATTGAACAATCCATATTATATTTCGTGCAAAACACCTAAAACTAATTTAAAGCATCGATTAAATGAAAACTAAAAGAGAATATTTATTTATAAGACCCTCAGTGTTAGAACGAAAAAGTTGGAAGAAGATCGATGAAAAAAGATGAAAGAAGAAACTGGAAGCGGCGAAAAATGAAGGAAGAAATGAAGCCCTTGATCTGATAATTTCACTATTTATACTTTGTTCAACATAATCTAAACCGTCGAAGCCAACATTATAAATTTGTCCGATATGAAATTTTTTAAGCCCACGTTTTTCAAAAACATTCCTATTTTACAAGCCCAACATGATTAATATAAATAATTACACGTATCTTATAATAAGTACTAGTACAGAGCCCGTGCGATGCACGGGATGCACAATTTTAAGGCTATTTATCTAGGCTTATAATTATAAACATGAATAAAGATGCAATATTATATACATAAAATGTACGGGATATATATAGTATGTGCAAAGCACGAGTTATATTTATTTAGAGAATATTATATTATAAGATGCAATATTCAATAAAAGTTTATAATACGCAAGAAATTGTACAATGTTCAATAAAAGTTTTATAATATTCAAGTGGAGTCTTAAAGTCTCTTGTAATTAAGACTACTGACAAAATAATATTTTAATCAATGAGTTTCCTTTCCTTGTAGCCAAATTGTGAATGTGATTTGAGGAATACAACAAATTGATATATAGCTGACTTGCTTTTTTCATTGTAGTTTTTTTTTCTTTTTTTTATAATGAATTTAAAGATATTCTAAAATATAGCAAAAATTAATTTTTTTATTACAATTAGAAATTTTACTAAATATAAACTCTCAATCTATGGTGTTAATCAACGTTTAAGTCTAAAAAATTAAAAATTTTTACCTCTTTTAATCAACGTTTAAGTCTAAAAAACAATAGAGTTATTATAAGTTTTTTTTCTACATCTTTTAAAACATTAAATATGAGCATGTTAGGGCTAGCTTGTAAAATAATTAATATATTATCTCACTAAAACATTTATACTAATAAAAATTTAATTTTAGCATAAAAATTTATCCCTTGATATAAGAGAAAGTAACAGTTTTGTTGTTCACCATATAATATTTAACTAGTATGAGCCCCGTGCACTGCACGGGTAAGAGATATTCATTAATATTTATAAACTAAAATTTTCTTATTAAATAATATTTGTAAATTATAAATATAGAATCAAATACCTATATTAATTTGTTGAAAATATTATATAAAGTTTAAATTGTGAAAAATTACATAAAAATGTCTATTTAAAATTAGTACACAACTCATGCGATACATATAACTGTTAATAAATTACATTATATTCGTTTCAAAATAAGTTTCATTTCAAATTTTTTATTCAGAAATTCGATTTGACTATAATGTGATTACATAAAATAATTATTTTGGTAAAATTTTATCATATATTTAACAACATATGTGAATAATAATTATAAATATAAAATTTATATTGTTTCATTACTTAAAATAATTTATTTTTGTATAAACTATTCAAATAAAAAAAAATTAAGTAGTTGAGTAATTTATTGAACTATAAATAATTGACTATTTCATTCACGTCCAAGTTAATATTGACCCGTAAGTTATGAATAATTGTTTTTTATTTTATTTTTAATTTTAAATAAAAATATTTTTATTTTTTTATATATTATATACCAAATTTAAACTATGCAACTAATAAAGGTAATAGCTGCAAGTTTTGTCAATATATTATATTTCACATTTAAATTATTCAACAAATAAAGGTAATAGCCGCAATATTTGACCAAAATAATTTTGTACATTAATTACATTAACTTAGGCAGGATTTTTCAAACTTTGGCAAGAAAAAAGAATTGCCCAATTTAGTAATTCTGAATTTTTAGGCGGGAAAACCAAATATTTTTTTATTGATTTTTAGTTACTATTTCAAGTAAATATCATTGTCTTTTTATATATTAATAGATGTCATATTTTTGTAGCGTGCTATGCCACGGGATTTCACGATTTGTTGATTATTAGATATTTAATGATAAATTGTTTGAATCAAATAATTTGTTGACATTAACGTGAAAAAAAAATATTATTTAGTAGTAAATTTAAATTTATATCATTCATGATATTAAATATTCAATATTTGATTTTATGTTTATATTAAGTACATATTACTTAGGTCACATAATTTCATAATTTTTAATTACTTATTTTGATTAATAATCAAATAATTTATTCCTTTTTCTTTTGAAAATCTAAGGACTCTTTTTTTTTTCTCCCCCAACGAAATGAAATGAGTCTAAAATAATATATAATTGGATGTGATTTACTTGCCAAACATTGGATGTGATTTATTGGTTAATAAATTGTTTAAGCGGGACATGCAAAAAATTTCAAAAATATTTGCTGAAAATTGTTCAAAACGAAAAATAGAAGCGGGAAAGAATGACTAAAGAAGCGGGAAATGAAATATTTTTTTCAAAGTTTTTCAAATAGTTTTTCTTCTCCTTATTATATAGTAATAGATTATTATTTTATTATATAATAAAAAAGAATATTGTTAAATAGTGTAGTAGAATTGTTATAAAATTATATGATTTTTTTTTTTTACAATATGGATTTAAGATTTTTTTATGATTTGATAATATAAACAAATCTATACTTAACTTTGACAAATAAAACAAATAAATACTTTAGTAAATATTTGATGTATATACTAAATAGGAATATATTTGGTATAATCAAATACCATATATAATCAAATAAGTCAAAGTGTACATTTTTATTTGGTATTTGATTTTTTTATTATTAAAATATTTTTATTATACTTACCTTTTTAAAATAAAACAAATAAATAAATCAATTAAATAAATAAAATATTATAATACCAAAATAGTAATGACATTTAATGCAGTTCACTTTTCTGGATAGTAAATGTAGTAAATAGAATATCCTTTTATATAGTATAATACGGAAATAGTAATGCAATAAATGCTGTTGACTTTTCTGGCTACTTAATTTAGTAAATAGTACCCCCTTTAATATAAGTATAGATTTGTGAAGTTTAATTATAATCAATGATCGATGCTTTATTATATAACTAGTATTCGATCATGTGCAAATGCACAGATGTAAATGAAGTATTATAAGTTATTTGTATGCATATAATATTAAAATTATAAGTTAGATAATGATATTATATTTTAAACATAAGGTATTATAAGTTATATTTATGCATATAATATTAAAATTATAAGTTAAATAAAGGTATTATATTTTAAAATTTGATCATTGGTTAAAATAAATAGTACATAACGATTTGATTGTATATGAATCACTATATTGATTGCATAAAATAAAATAAATAATGTATTTTTTGAAATTTTAAGGGACTTTAATTAATTAGCTAAAAAATATTAAATTTATTATAACAATTGCTTATGCGATTTTAAGAATTTTACTATGCCATTAAAAAAAATTAATTTATTTAAGTAGATAAAGAAATATTATATTGATTTTATAACAAATTACTCGAACAAAAAGTTTCTACAATATAGTTTCTTATGTTTATGTAACTTTCACATATCATTTAGTTAAAATATAATTATTAATTGTAATTATAACTATTATATGATACAATTTCCAGAGCTGGTGAAATTATTTTATATTGTTGTTAGTGTATTTGTCCATTTTGTACATGTTTTGCATTTTCCATTTTCACCATGATTAATTATTGTAGTGATATCATAAAAAACAATAGATATTCCAAATATACATTTATAAAAAGTTCTTTTAAAAATTTATATTCTGAATACATGCTTATGTAATCATGAGTTTTTATAATAAATAATTCGTAATTAAGTTAGCATGGTAATGATTATATAAGAAATTAAAAAAGTAAATATTTTTAGCTAATTAACCTAAATTGATATGCTTAGATAAAATAGTGATCATTAGTTTAGATTTTGTAACTGTCCAAAATTGATGTATTTTGTAAAAGTAACGGTTTTTGTATTTAGAAAGTTTGTATTATTTATTAGGTAAAATTTATTAAGTTTTATTTATGAGGTAAAATTAAATGAAAGGCTAGCAATTATATATACTAGTATTCCACCTGTGCATTTGCACATATATAAATAAATTATTGTGAGTCGGTATGCATATAATGATTAATTATTTTTCTTTCACTTTTTTGCAGACCAAATTTACAATTAAAAGAGTTGAAATATTTTTTTTTTAAATTGCGTTTATCTGATTGGATGTAATGTATATTTTGGTACGTCTTTTATTTGTGAATTATTTATTATTTATTTAGGAATTTCAAATATATTTTTTATTTTCAAAAAAAAAAAATGTAACAACAATAATAACATCTAATCACATTATATGGTCAACTGTCATTAATCAAAAGTTTAAAATGATTTTTGTAATTTTGAGTGATGAGTATTAATTATTTAATGATTAAATGAAAGATTAAATACACCATAATGTAACGGTTTTTGGAGGGAAAATTGTTAAATTGCCAAATAGGTAAAATTAAATAGGTTTTATTAAATCTATTAGCTAGTAATTATATATATATAGATATATATATAGATTTGAATATAAATACAAAATTACCTTTTAAAGAGGACGAAAATAACAAACCTCCGTGCATCGCACGGGTGCTGTACTAGTATACATAAAAGAACCATAATGAAAAAAGTAAAAGAAAAAACTCACATTAAATATTGGTGATGAAAAAATAAATTATACAGGCTATGAAGATAAACGAATAAGATAATAGAGTATGAAAGGGTTAATATATATAATTGTGTACATTACACTATATAGAAATGAGCGTTTGAAGAGAGTCATGATGAGATTTCTACTAGGACTTTGACTTTGTAATTTTATTAAAAAATAGATTTTTTAAAAGTTCAAATTGAATAGATCATAAATTTTCCACAAATTTTTATCCTCACTAAATCATTCAATTCAAATGCAGCATAAGTGACATTGCTTTCCTTTTATTTCCTTCAAATTATTACCTGGACTACAGGGGAGTCATCATTGACTTCAAAAGAAAAACCATCGGGAGGGCTGTAATGGGTTTTAAAAGCTCCTGTAAATATCTGAAGCGAAAAAAAAAATTTAAAAAAAAAAAAAATCAACATTCCTCACATCACATTCTAGACAATAGAAACTGAATATTATATGAAACAACACAAATAATGTCATGATAAGTACTAGATAAATAAATAGTCGATACAATACTGAAAAACAAAATTGTAGGGATTGGACATTGACCTGAGAGGAAGAACCAAGACTTTTGGAGCCTTGCCATACAACCTCCAGCTTCTTCTCATCTTTCCTTTTGGCCCTATCTTGGTAGTCTATACGAGCAAAGTATAGAGCATCAAATCCAACCTAAAATCATGAATTCCTCTTAGTTGTTGTAATCTATACAGTATATATATCAAGTAAGGATTTTTTTGTGACAATATGAGAGTGAAAAATATTTGGCAACTAGATATTTTAGAAGGCTTTGACAAGAATATGGAAAATGAGAACCTCCGCGCCAAGAAGGTAAGCCTGAACAGCAGAATGTCCAAAAGGATCAATTTGCCAACCGATTCTCGGAATTACATCGAACTCCTCTTTGATGAATCGATGGCCGAGTGTTGTTTGATCTATCATGTCAATGTAATGTGTTGTCGCCTCATCATGCATGCACATACCACCATTTCTGCATAAGAAAAAACAAAGTCATGAGACAAAACCAAAAATAAAACCACCAAAAGTTCTAACATCCATACACGTTACAACACTATTGATCTTGAACACAAGTTAGAAGCAAAATTTCTGTGCGTGATCATATATATATATATATATTTTAACATTGACTGCAAAATAAATTTTAGTACATGAACTCAAGTTGACCCGATTTCACGAGCATTCGGACTTTCTTCTTCATGTCGTCACTCTGGTTTCTCCACCACCGCTGGAAAAAAGCCTAATCACAAATGCAAAAGGCATTCATGTAATTAATCAGCGTGCTTTTCATTTTAGTTGTCAAAATAAAATAAACCAGTACATAAGATGGAAAATATCACCTGCTCGACATAAATAAATTTCCGGTTTTTATCTGCCAGCAATGCTGGAATTAATGAGTCCAACACATTTTGCACACATGCGCCCTACACATATACAGATGAGGACTTTGAGCTTGCAAAGCTCCGTACACAATTAAATCCATCAGAAAATGTAGCTTCAATTCAATAAGAGATGTAGCAACTCCAACAAAATTCACAATTGCATTACGATTTGAAAAAATAATATATAAAAAAATAATAATAATAATAAAGCAGAAAGAAGGTATGAACAACATCAGCTGATTATTGAGACAATTGGGCTAACAGGTTGATGATCATGACTGAACCTACTGTAAAAACATAAACTGAAGAGGAATCAAGTTTGAAATAAACTCAGCACGACCCAATTGTGATAGCCTTAAGAAGAAAATTAACAAAAAGGGCAGAGTTTACCTGAATGGAATTATTGGAGCCAACATAGTACTGATCAACGGTCTTCAACCACCCAACATCGTCATGAGTATGAGAAACCAAATGGACATTGATTTTTCCAGGCACAGTGCCATGAGAAGTGTTGTAAATCATGTACTTACACTCGACCAACACACACACAACACACACTGTGAAAACCACTGAAAAAATCTTAAACCCCATCACTGCAGGCAGCTACAACTGCACTCTGTGCTTACGGGTTTAATATAAATAGACCATCCAACCCCAGAAGAGGACAAACTGAAAAGAAATAGTTAACAAAGAGAAGAAAAGGAAATTAAGAAAACATCTCGACCAAAAAATCAAAGAGAGAATCTCGGTGAAGAAATCGGAACAAAGACAAAGGAAAAAGTGGAATGTTAGGTGGCATTGTGAAAACTCCATTTGTTTGATAATTTGTGGATAATGACTAGTAAAAAAAATGTAAAAAAGGTTGAAAAAGGTTGCATCTTTCAGGTTGGAATCTGAATCAAGATGGCACCGTTTAAGAATTGTGAGGCTGGTTATTTTACCGAATTTACTCAAATACCCCATGTTTACTCTACTTTCGAATGGTGTATATGGTCATTGTAGAGGGCCTGTCCCAAATGTTCACAACACCCAAGCCTCATCCATCTCCTTAGTCAGATTCTTCTTGGATCTATCACCTGCCATGATCTTTGTCTTCAAATTTTCAAGAAACTTCTTGTGAGAAACCGATTTGTCCCTTATAGTCGGTAAAAGACTAAGCCCTTTCCACAGACGGTGCTAATTTGATGTGCAATTTATCTTGAATGAGCCGGAACACCACGGACGAATGCCGACTTCGAGCTCTAGTGATCTTCAAAACGCCGGAGAGAGATCCCGGCAGAAAAACTGGCAATAATTGTGCTTAAGTATGTATGTATCTGAGAGATGTGTAAAATAAGAACCTGGTCACCCTCATATACTAGGGGCGTATTGATGCCCAAGAGAATACTAGTTAGAAAAGAGATCTCCTCACATCTACTTTCCTAATTTACCACGTTTCTGAAATATAAGACTTCTTAGCAAGATACATTTTTCATCCTAAAAGAGTTCTTTCCCCTCTCTTTGTACGACTCTTAGGTTCCTTAGGTCACCCAATTGACTAACAGCCTACCTGTGTTATGCTTTGTAGCTAGGTCGTAACCATGACCTCCATCTCTACGACCTTCGGGTAAAGAGGTGTCGTTCAGTATCTGAGCTCTTGAGGTTCTCGACTCTGAGCTCCCTGACTTGGCCAAACTTGTACCGTGATCCACATAAGTAGACTCCTTGACAAAGTTGTGTGCTAAAATAGCTTCTTTGAACCGGCCACCACAGAGCTAACCGCTCAAGCCGGTTCGCCATTGGGGACATGTATAGGATTAAACCTTCTAACATGGTAACTAAGGGGATAAAAAAGAATCTTAGGGGGAATTAAGTCCCCACATGGGTAAAACCACGTGGCATCATTTAAGTGATCCACGCCTAATAACCGTCTCTGACAACCCGAAAGCCTATGATAGCTCTCAAAACCAAGGAAGTTCACGCGCTTGTTACCCGGAAGCTCACGCGCCCAACTTGGGCACTAAGGTATCATTTCCCTATATAAAGGAGTGAGGTATGCCCTGAAGCACATTACATTCTCTATTAAACACATTATATTACAAAGAGCTTTCTCTCTCCACTTCATCTTCTACATTTACTCATTAAATCATCAGATGCTCTTCACCGGAGACCCCATTCGATGTGAGAGTTCTGCAGGTTCGGGGACGTTCAATCGGCAACCAACTCGAGATCCATGCGTTTCCAGCTCATTCTAGCCGGTCGGAGATTTTTTTTATACCATAAACATTCTTTGATTGTGTGGCATATCCCAATAACTAAATAAATCATGTTCATGTTTTTAATATTTAATTTAAAAAATTAATTTTAGTATCAACACGATACTTATTTTTATAAAATATTTTAATATTTCTTTTTGCATCATAAACATAATAAATTTATTTTCAATATTGTTTACGACTAATTTATTTTAAGAAAAGTACGTACTTACCCATCCATCACGCTCCGATTCGTGTTAGCCCGCGGGCTAAAGAGAGTGGACCAAATATGCTCGCAGTCAAACGGGCTGAACAAATAATGGCCTAAGCCCACCAATTTATGCCGACGGATGGGCTGGTCCGCAAACTATGTCCGTTTTGACAGTTTTAATTGCACGAGATTCGTGTCAATATTAATAGAAATAACAATTTAGATATATATGGATTACTCCACGGAAATGTCATATCGATATATTAAGGGAGTGTATTCAATTGAGATTTCAAGTGACAATTTTAGACATTTTAAATTTGAGATTTTTCAAGATTTGCAAATTTTGAAAGAATTATGTGAAATATTAAGTCTAGAAGTGAAATTTGAAGTGGGATTTCATATCAGGTTTTTTCTTAAGACATCTCACAAAATCCTAGTCTCAAATAAGTTAAATTCCTGATGATTTTGTAATACTTTTTAAAATTCCACTTGAATACCCCAAAACTTTTAAAAGTTTTACCAAATAACAAATCTAAATTAAATATACTAAGATTTTTAAAATTTTAAAAGGTATTTAGAAATACCAACGAAATACAATCCCTAAATGATATGTGGAAATTAGGAAATTAGAAACTCTAATTTGGATCCTACCAGACAAGTGGGCTCCCCCCTCCCCAATTGCAACGCAGTCCGTCTTTTTCTATGTCCAGTCTCCCCAACTCCAAAATATAATAATATCTTTACATCTAATTATTTTTCGTTCTTAAGTTTTGGAATTAGTTCACGCCGGCGATGGGGAATTGCTGCTCCGACGGTGCTGCCGGTCATTCGGCGGTCGGAGGAACCACTTCCACTTCGGCTGGGAACGACGCCGTCGATGCCTTCCTCAGGTCTCGCGGCTATAGTGGACTGTTCTCTCAGATCGAGGTCTGTCTTACTCATATAATGTTACCTTTATGGAAATGCATCTTTCATTAGCTTTTCAGTCTTTGTCTTGTGAAATGTAGTCGATCGTTGTTTTGGAGTTTGCTGTTTCGTGTGTTTCTGTGCGCGTGTGTAGGTTTTGAACTTCGATGCTGCAACATCTAATTTAACACACTTAAAATGATCTAATTTAGCTCATTTGCTTTCATCTTGCAATGCCTTAGATACGTCTTGATTTGGTGATTGAGGATTAGGGAAATAATAGGTTAGGCTGAGCCATCCACTGTAGTTAAAATCTTCATCTCTTGAATGAAGTTTTTAGAGAAGGTAGAAAAGAACGCAAAATAATTTGCTAGGTAATAGTGCAGGTACCGGGCTATGGGGGGTTATGAGGATGTTGGTGTTTGCAGTTCAAAGATGAATTTGAATTGTTGTTGTACATCTTTGTATGTGGAATGACGGTCTACAGTTTTTTTAGATAATACTAGGCATTTGTTGATATAGTTGATTTATTTTCTCCTATGGTTGATTTTGCTAGGTCTTAAAAAGATATAGGTTACTTTGTATGTCCCCATTCTTTAAGGGATTGATTTCCATATTTTTGTATAGTATAGTCCTGTAAAAATGTGCTGCGCTCCCGAGTTAAGATGGTATGATCTGAGCACTCAGATATTTTTGGAGGCGATGCTGGGTTTGGATGTAGCCCATTTGAATTGGGACGCTAGTGTGTGGCCATGAGGATGGGTGTTAGAAATTTGATTTGCTTGATTACGTCTACTTCTAAGACATAGTACTTTCTAGTCCTACATGAATGTTCTGTTTCGATTTGAGTTGTTATGGAGCATAAATATGGATTGGGTTCCCTCTTCCTTTGAGCTAGCTTTAGGGGATGAGTTCAACATAGGCCCATTTAACATGGTATCATGTGTACAATAAGCTTCTTGTAACCACTTCACCTGACCTTCTCCGCTAATTCGACATGAGTTTGCGAATGGCTTCGTCATGTGAATCGGTGCTTATTTGTCACCTTTCACGCATCCAATGTGGGGTTTATGAAGCCATTGGGGCTGCTATTATACATGATCATATCCAACTATATCCTTGATTAATAACGTACCCAAATATATGCTAGTTTATTATCAGATTTCTGTCTCTCTTCTTTCCTGTCAGACTCAAAGTAAGGGAGGCTCATAAAGTTTTAATGACCTATTTTGGGGTTTTGGTGACCCCACTGGTTTCTTGATTTCATTGATAGGGTTTTATGATTTTATCCATTACATACTATATCAAGCATATAGTCCATTTGACCATGTTTGATTCCCACACAAAATTATAACTTCTTGTCACCTCGTCCATGGCCACTTCTCAATAGCCCGGCAAGGATTTTTAGAAACTGTTGTTGCTCACATGCAAAAGTATTCCATATTAGATCTATTGGGGGATTGTACGATGCCACCTGGATTTTGCAGATTCTACTTCAGAGGGGTGTAGAACTAACTCATGCAGATGGAAGCTTAACAACAAATGAACAACAAGCTCTTGATAGTTGTAGAAAGGAGAATAGATCTCAAACTTTTTTCCATATTCAACCACCCTTGTAATAATCATAAGCTATCGATTTATATAAGAACATAAATTTGTGTAACAAGAAATGAACTCTATCACAAAAGTTATCCTAATTGATTATTTTAAGGTAAATAATTAATAAAATTTAATCCATTTAATCTAAATCAGACAATATTTAATCTTAAACTCCATCGGTATGCAGACATTGGTCCTCATGCTATTTTCTAGTGATCAAGTGTTCTTTTTGTAATTCTTATCTCATCAGTGATTCCTTCCAGCCCAATTTTCTAATTTTTCTAAGAATATTTTGCAGCTGTCTCTAGCTGCAGCAAACTTGCGTGATCGAGATGTGCTCTGCAAGGTCTGTTCCAGTATCAATAAAGAGGATAATAAATATAGATAATTTGGGCAAATTATCAGTTTGTGTCCCTGTTTTCATGGTCTCTCCTGCCACATCATTGTTTGTTCTCCATTTCAGAGTGATCCTATGGCTGTTCTTTACATCAAAGGAAGTGATGGTTTGCTTCAAGAGCTTGATCGCACTGAAGTCGTCTTAAACTCATTGAACCCCAAGTGGATTAGAAAATATATTGTTACTTACCAATTTGAGATGGTGCAGAATTTGGTGTGAGTTTTATTGCAAAAACATTCATTTTTTACCCCGGGTTTTGTATACATCTATCGTATGTATCTGAATAAAATGGCTTTGCAGGTTCCGCATCTATGATGTTGACACTGAGTTCCACAATATGGATGTTAAGGTATATTCTTATGCCGTATGCATGTCTCTTGTTACAAAATTATATAAACGTCACCAAATAATGGGAGTGGGCCAACTGTTTTATGGTTTTTCTTGACTCTCATTTTATATACAGTTGTACACATGCTAAAACTGCAAATAATGAGTTGCCTCACATGTTTCTTACAGGCACTTAAGCTGGAGGAACAGCAGTTTCTTGGTGAGGCTACTTGTACACTATCTCAGGTATGATGTTGGATCATCTTGACTATTGACTACGGTTTGTTATGAAATGTGCTGCGACAAACAAAAAATGCAAGACTTGTAGAATCTCAAAATTCCTTAGTGGTCTATCTGTATTTCATTGCTATGATTACGGTGTTCTAATTGATTAAGTAGTTATTTATGGTGACAGTGAGTGACACAGTGGACTGATCATATCATCCCCTATAATAAAAATGCCTCATTTTACTTGTGTATTTCTCCTCCACCTTCCAATTTATCTTGCTTCAGTCTGGATAATGAACCTAGTTCAAGTCTGATTTTGCACCTTTCATAGTTGTTTGGTCTTTTGAATATAGTTATTCCATTGTATTCATCATTTATTTCCTGCAGATAGTCACAAAATCAAGCCGGACATTAACCTTAGATCTTGGACATGGAGACAGTTCTTTCCCAACCCATAGTCAAAAATTTGGTCAGCTTACAGTTTATGCTGAAGAAAGTGTAGCATCAAAGACCACAGCGGAGTTGATATTGAGATGTGCAGACCTGGAGGCGAGGGACTTGTTCTCAAAAAGTGTAAGATAATACTCTTTCAACTTTTCTTTTCTCAACTCTATTTTAATTTTGAACTTGGAAAAGTTGATCACTCTTTTTGATTTGGCCTTTTCAGGATCCTTTTCTGGTAATATCAAAAATCACCGAGAATGGCCTGTTAGTTCCAGTTTCCAAAACTGAAGTCCTGAAAAATGATCACAATCCCAGATGGAAACAAATTTTCTTGAGTGTTCAGCAAGTAGGAAGCAAGGTGCTGGTAGTCAGTACTAGGCATTTGTTTCTCTGTATTGTTCTCTTGATGATTATCTTATTTATCCACAAGTTTGCTACTGCTGTGTTACTTGGGTGATTATTTTTTTTTTCCTGGTAGACTTTGTCTGGATTGTAGAAAATAGGGATCATAATTTAGCCATCTTCTCTGACTTGAATATAGGATGTGCTTGCGATGTCAAATTCAGACATATAATTACTATAAACATAAATGAGCGAAAAGAAAAGTTGAAATTGGTCTCGAGTTTTTTTGCTTTCTCGTGTTATGTTTGAAGTTTTCCCTTTTAAATCTTTAGGGAGCTACCTGAATTTTCAATTTAAAAATGTCCTAAATATTGCAGGACAGCCCACTGATAATCGAGTGTTTTAACTTCAATAGCAATGGAAAACATGATTTATTGGGGTAAACAACTTGTTTTCTTTATCAATTCTGATAGTTAATTTTCCAAACTGATCCTCACCTGCTTGTTTCCTACGTTAATTGTTCAGTAAAGTTCAGAAATCACTGGCAGGGTTAGAGAAACTTCATTCTGTTGCAACAGGAGAGAGTTTGTTTATCCCAGTTTCAGTTGGGCAAAGTCACCAAAACAAGGTAAGCCATAAACCAACAAATTTATTGCGAAAGAAATTTCTGTTGGGAACAAATAACATTGTTGCCTCTCATGCCATGTAGGTCTTGAAGAGTCAGTTGTTCGTCGACAAATACTTAGAGAACACCCAACATTCATTCCTTGATTACTTGGCTGGAGGCTATGAGCTGAATTTCATGGTTGCTATTGATTTCACTGGTATTCTCTTTTCCATCTCTGCTTAACATACTTCTGATCTTCATTTAGAGTATATAAGTTTTTCTTCATTTCCTTTTATGCGTGATGTAGTCCTATAATTTCTTTAATATGGGCTTTCAAATAATTCTTCACTGTTTTCTTTTGCTACATTTATCAGCTTCAAATGGTAATCCCCGGCTGCCTGACTCGTTGCATTATATTGATCCATCAGGACGGCTAAATGCATATCAGAGAGTAAGATGTATTCCTTGATAAAGATTATATATCTTCTGGATGTGAGGAAAGAAGAACTAATATGATCTTTCTATATAGGCCATTTTAGAGGTTGGAGGCGTGTTGCAGTTCTATGATTCTGACAAGAAATTTCCGGCTTGGGGCTTTGGAGCACGGCCAATTGATGGTCCGGTATCCCATTGCTTCAATTTGAATGGGAGCAGTAACTATTGTGAAGTAAACCTTAAGCCCATTAACTTCTCAAAATATTATTAGTTTAATATCAATACCCTGCCTATTCTGTGTGCCACTTTAAAGTATTATCTGTTTTTCTAGGTTGAAGGGATTCATGGAATTATGACGGCATATACGAGTGCCCTGTTTAATGTCTCATTAGCTGGACCAACATTATTCGGACATGTAGTCACCAACGCTGCACAGATAGCTAGTGCATCTGTGGCAAGAAATGAAAGGAAATATTTTGTTTTGTTGATTATCACGGTAAGCTGCAGAAATAAATTATGATTCAACCTTTAGTTTGTGATGTGAATTTTTGATATTTTCTGGTTACTTTTGTTTATATCTCAATTTTCCTGAAGAACTCTTTCGAAGCTCGCAATTATTAGAGTTAGTTTCATTTCTTATGATATCATTCTTGAAATTTTATATTTAGATTGAATTTCAAAAAACTAGATGCCCTCTTGAAAAATTTTTCTACCCTTCAATATTACAAGTTGCACCTATTGAGAGTTAGCTGTGCATTAGAAACATAAAAAGGGTATTTGTGTAGTAACTTTGATAGATTGTATATTATTTATATAAGTTAGGGTAAGTTTTGTAATCTGCATGCATTTTATCGTTTCATTTGGTAAATCGTTGCTATTATTATTATTATTATTATTATTATTATTATAGGATGGAGTGATAACAGACCTCCAGGAAACAAAGGATGCCTTTGTTATGGCATCCGATCTTCCATTGTCTATACTCATTGTTGGGGTTGGAGGAGCCGACTTTAAAGAAATGGAGGTATGTGCTTTTCTATCCACCCTTGCATTGATTTTTCTTGTACAAAATACTCAAGATCATTTTGTCCAATAACGTTCAGTCCCCACTTTATGCAATAACACATTCTATAATTCCTCTATCAGATATTAGACGCGGATAAAGAGAGACTTGAAAGTTCAACCGGACGGATTGCTTCACGAGATATAGTCCAGTTTGTCCCTTTCCGTGATGTACAAAGTAAGTCCCTTACTCATAAATTCCAGAAGCTTAACTGTAAGTTCTATCACAAATCTATTTATAAAACTGAGAAAATTAGCAATCTTTTTTAAAAAAAAAAATAAAAAATTAGAAATATCCCTTGGTATGTGTTTCTATTGTATAAATTGGACCCTCGTGTGGGAATATTGGTCAATGACAGTCTCAATGGGATATATCTGTAACTTTCTAATGCTCTAGAGGTTGTTTTTGTAGTTATCACAGTAAACTTTTGTGGTATGCAGGTGGAGAAATCTCTGTCGTTCAATCATTGCTGGCAGAATTACCTTCCCAGTTTTTGACGTATGTGCGAGCAAGAGGTATTGGCCCAAAAGCATAATCAATATAAAGGTGTACATACATAAAACACCGAATACCATTCATCCATGTCAAAAAACCTTCCCGTTTGAGGTCTTTTTTCATATCAACATTCTTAATTTTTTCGTGGTTCATTATAATTTGAAATGGCTTAAAGAACCCATTCTTGTTGAGTAAGAGTAACACGATTTTTTCTGTTTGTTCGTTTGTTTTTATTTTTATTTTTTTTAAAACAAGTTGCATTGATTTTCTGATAATCTTGACACTTTATTCAGTGTATTTAGCCAGTGTCGAGTTTCTGATATGTTGTTGTGACTCATTTTGGTCAGAGATCCCAAGCGAGTATTCATTGTTTTTTCCAACTATTGTAAGCATATTTTTTAAACTCAGCCCAAGAATCAACTTGGGAAGGTCTTCGGACTGGTTCACTGCCGAGTCATAACATCAATTGCTGAATCAGATAATTAACTTTAAAATTTAAAATTATATATAAAGAATTTTTATCATATACATATCATAAAAGTAACAGCAATAAATGTTTTTTGTATATAAATTTTGTACATCAAACTGTTAGTAATATTTTATTTTATAATAAATATTTGTCATAGAAATATTTATACATAGTTTTTATTTAAAATAATAAAAAATATTTTATAAAATAAAAAAAGAATAGTGACCGGGTCAAATAGGGTTGACTCAATTGGGTCGGTGCCTTGGTTGAATGGATCAAGGTCAGGTTGATCAGGTTTTGACAAGGTTTGATGTTACTCGGTCCAATGCACCAAATTGAACTGGTCTCGTCTCTGCATTGACCCGTCGTGCCAGCCCTGGTGGAAAATTTGTGATTGTAAGCCTTAAAGATTAGATCTTTTTAAGTGTAGCATATATTCTATTTGACCCATGATGGATTGAGTGTTGATATTTGTTGTCCTAGGGTTCGTTTGGTTTCGGGGATGAGATTGTATTAAATTAATATGCCATGAATGGATTGTGGATTAGGTAATATATGTATTTGTTATTTATGATTGATAATTTGGATTGAATAATTTTATGCTACCCATTGCGGTTGGTTGTCTTAGGGGTGATTGTTTATAGATTCTAACTCAAAAAAGTTAATCAAAACTCAAATTTATCTCAACTCCGCCATCTTCAATATTATCAATATAATTAAATAATATCAACTAATCATTCTTACATATCACATCAACTTTAATTCACTATTTATTCACTCACATAAGTAACTATTCATCACTTCCAATCATTTTTCTTTTACTTTATATCAAATCATCTTTAATTATTTTATTTGAATATATTCACTAACAATTAACCATATCATATTTTTTTAAAATTAACTATAATTAAAAAATAAATCAAATAAAAATTAATTAAATCCATAAACAATCACCATGGAGATACAAACCAAAAAGTCATATTTGTCCCCACCCATTTTAGTTCTCTATCCACACCTACCCACAGCGACTGAAAAGTCGACCTACCAATCCACCACTGCCTCCATTCATCCCTTATTTTGACTATCATCAATAAGCATATAATGATGGTGAATATCACACAAATGTCAAATAAATACATACACAAAGGAAATGAATGAAAAATATTCACAAATTATTATGGGTGTGAAAAAATGCAAACACGCCATAAAAGAATAGCAGCGGCCGCCATTTGTCCACCGCCACTTTCGGCTACTGTGAAGTTGGGGTTTGGGGGCTGATGTGACCCATTAACAACAGCCCCATCTGTTAAATAACAGCCTTTAGATCAGATAAAATTAAAATTGAATCCAATGATTATAAATAAATGATAAATTAAATTATTCTTATCAGTTCACACAAGCCCCTATCCCGTTTTTCATCCCTATCAGTTCAAACCTAATTAACAGCCTTCTGCAGTTTTCACTGCAGCCCACTCTATATGAATTTGTGAAAAAAATTTCGTCCTCGTTTTTCCTTATCACCGGCAACATCCGTACATTCCGGTGAGCCGCAGCCATCCCCGAAGCTCTGTCCGGCGATAACTCCGGCGACGAAGGAGGAGACCGACGACCCCTAACCCGGCCGGCGACCTCCGTTCCGTTTCGACATCACATTTTCTGTCAATCGACGACGCACACTTCAGCCGACGACGAGGAGAAGAAGGCGAGCGGCGGCTGTGACTAAATGACAGAGAGCGGCGGCGACAGGACGTTCGACGGCTAAACTCCGTCCAACAAGCAGCGGCGACGGCGAGCTGAACTCCGTCCGATTTGTTCCGGTGACCGGTAATCTCCTTAACCTCCGAAGTGAGTGATTGGGATACCGATTGTTTATAAATTGTTTCCCTTTGCATATTTTTCTTGGAGGATTTGCTCTGCGTGAGGAGAAAGCATGGAGGAGCAACATGATGTTCCAAATATCACATCAACGGAAGAAATTTGGTCCGAAAAAAATATCGAAATTGATTCTATGTGTTTGGACCCAATAACAGACAATGATTTTTTTTCCTGAAATTGGTAAGAAGATAGAGCCTAAAAAGAAAAACCCTACAGAGTAAGTTTTTCAATTTTTTTTTCTATGTTCTTGTTGTTCATTGTAAATGTGCTTGGAGGGTTGAATATTATTTTGTTTTGCTTAGGTGATAGGTGAAAGAAATGTAATTCTAATTTAATATTTTTGTATTTAACTGATGGTATGTGTTTGTATTGTGTATTTTTTATTTTTTATTTTTTGCTAAAATTCTATGTGTATATGCTTATATGTAGGAGAAACATATGTTCTGCTGATTGTGAGCAAGATTTGGTTTTTGAAAATTCTACGAATATTGAGAAGGAAATTGTGGATGATGCTATGCACGGTAACACTATAAGTAGCGGCCGGACATCAAACGATGAACCAAGAGTTGGAATGATTTTTAATACTTTTGATGAAGCATGGGATTGTTGGCAAAATTATGGGAAGCTGATGGGATTTGGGGTTAGAATAAATTATCGCAATAAGAGCCAAAAGGATGGGGTATATAATAACACAATTTTCGTTTGTCGCAAGGAGGGTAAAAGAGCTGCAGATAAAAGGAGGGTGGGAGTCGTCCATCGATGGGAAGAAAGAACATCATGCAAGTTTAAGTTAAATGTAGTTTTGGAGAGGTCGATTGGAAAGTACAAGATTAAAGAGTTCGTTGCAGAACATAATCATGAACTTGAGCCTCCAGAAACGAGTCATATGTTCAGATCCCATAGGCAAGTGAGCCGGGCCGCCGCCGCTGCTATTGATTTGGCACATGATGTCGGACTCACCTCAAATGCAACACACCACTTGAGGATTAGAGAAGCAGGAGGTTGGGATAAAGTTCGATATATATTGGAAGATCAAAAGACTTACTTGCGCTCTAAAAGAGAAAAAAACATGGTGTATGGTGAGTTGGGAAGTATAATACGATACTTCAAACAAAGAAAACGTAAAGATCCTTCATTTTTTTATTCAATGCAATTTGATACTGATGAATTAGTCACTAATATATTTTGGGCAGATTCGAGGATGATTGTTGATTATGGTGATTTTGGCGATGTAATTACATTTGACACCACTTATGGCACAACTAAAGAATTGAGGCCCTTCGGTGTGTTCACGGGATTTAATCACCACAGGAAAATGGTAATTTTCGGTGGTGCACTTTTGTATGATGAGACTGCTGATTCGTTTGCATGGCTTTTTGAAATGTTCTTGAATGCTCATGGAGGTAAAGAGCCGCAAACCATTTTTACAGATCAAGATGCGGCTATGGCGAATGCTTTGGCAAAAGTATTGTAAAATACACGACACGGGCTTTGCACGTGGCACTTGAATCAAAATGGGATCAAACATTTGGGTTGGCGCATGAAAGACGACTCTTCATTCTTAACGGATTTTAAGAGGCGTATGTTTGAATATTTAGAAGAGGATGATTTTGAAAGAGAATGGAAAAATTACTTGATAATTATGATTTGCACGATAATGAATGGCTATCGCGTACGTATGTGTTGAAAGAGAAGTGGGCCAAGTGTTACATGAAGTATGCGTTTACCCTGGGAATAGGGAATAAGAAGCACTCAATTGAGTGACTGTTTAAATAGTGATTTGAAATCCTATTTAAAATGTGATACGAATATTTCAGATTTTTTCAGGCAATTTGATAGGGTCGCGGATGAAAAAAGAGAGCGGGAGCTTAAAGCCGACTTTGATGCGAGACAGAAAATACCTCCACTTGAATTGTATGATTCTTTGTTGTTGATGCAAGTGTCACAGTTGTATACTCCTGAAAATTTTTACACTTTTCCAAATTGAACTTCGTGCCGCTTTAAGAGTGGTGATAAAAAGGAAAAATGAGGCTCAATGTCCGCATGAATATGTGGTTCGTCTTCATGGTTCAAGAGAAAATGAGATGAAAGTACTCTTTGATCCTACAAAAGATTGGGTCGTTTGTAATTGTAGAAAGTTCGAAATTATGGGAATATTGTGTTGCCATATCTTAAAAGTATTTATTATTCAGGATGTGATGTGCATTCCACAAAAATACATAATGGGAAGGTGGACAAAAGGCGTGAAAAGTGCAATGCTTGAACAAAGAAAAAATTGATGGTGTAGAAGATGTTGGAGAATGGGTCCAAAGGCTTCAATCTCAACTCTTACGGATGACACTTCAAGCTTCCGCTCATGAAGTGACACGAAGTTGCATGGAGAAAATAGTGAATGATTGTAATAAGCAAATTTTTGCTTTTACAACAAAAAATGAGATAGCAAATGAAGAAGTTCCTTCGTCCAACATAGATGATAAAATTGAAAATATGAAAGGCTTGAAAAAAAAAAGGACGGGAGAAGGAGAACAAAGCGGCCAAAGAGTTGGATCGAAAAACATGTTGGGAAGTTCAAAAAATCAAAATCATTGAAAGAGGTAATCATTATATTTTATGTGTTTGAAAAATGCATTAATACATTCTAACATATTTTTATTCTCTTTTTTGTTTCATTGTTGTCATATAAGCCGTGTCGATCGATGACTAATTCACAAGAAAACTTAAATTCTCGAGTAGCGGAGCACCATCATCAACAAGAAAATGTGGATGGCGATATTGCTTTAACGCACTTGACGGTATCTCCAAATTAGAATGGTACGTATTTACCTTGATAATGTAGTAGTATATGTTGAATGGTTGAGTTTTTAAATTGTTAGTTTGCCTCATGTTTCTGCTAGTTTTCCTCACATTTACTTCCAGTGTCTCTTGGTGGATGTTATTCTTTTATTGTTTTTCAGTGTTGGGGCTGTTTTTGGTTGAAATACTGGGGCCTGATTGTAATTTGAAGCCAACCTGTAATTTGAAGCCTTATTGAAGTGCTAGGGACTGGTTGAAATGCTGGGGTCTGATTGTCAAGATTTTAAACATCTCTGTTGTTTTGAAAATGTGATGCTTGATGTTCCTTGTGATGTTCTGAAGTTCACAGATTTTGGAGAATTAAGACAGTGTGAATATTTTTGGAACTTGAAACTTTGAAATCGTTTCCTGTTATGAAATTTGAAGTTTAGAAGTTAAACACTTTTCAATCTCTGTTACGTAGTTGAATATTGAGAAGTGTTGATCTTGTGGGGGGTTTTTGTATGAAGTGTTTTGTGAGTGTGGTTTCTAAACTTCATATGGTTTCAGATATCCAAATTCCAGAATTCCATACTTAAATTAGAACATTATTCACAAAATTATTGGACCAAACTACAAAATCAAAAAATTTAATACAAGAAAAAAAAACTCAGAGAATCTCTGAAAATTAAACATCACTGAAAGGAACTTAAAATCACTAAAAGGAACATTATTCAAATTAGAACATCACTCAAATTAGAACATTATTCACAAAAAAAAAAATCACTGAAAAATATTGAAACAATCTCTCAAAATTAAACATCACTCAAATTAGAACATTATTCACAAAAAAGAAAATCACTGAAAGGTACTTAAAATCGAAACAATCTCTGAAAGGAACTCAGAGAATCACTCACAAAAAAAAAAATGAAACAATCTTTGAAATCGTAACTTAAACGGCCGAACTCGAATCCTCCGGGAAATTCGCCCCTCACCGGAAGGCTGATGACTCAAGCGCCGGACACCGCTTCTCAGTTGTCGGGAGGCTGATGACTCAAATCACCGGTTCTGGGAACCGGGTCGCCGGGACAGAGGCAGGTCTGGCGGGTTCGTCGCCTGAAGATGGTCGGAGGTGCTTGTCCCTTCGCTGCCGCCGTCGTAAATTGGCGATTGTCGTGCGTATCTCGGCGGTTTGGGTCCACGGAACGGAGGTCGCCGGTCGGGGTAGGGGTCGTCGGTCTCCTCCTTCGTTGCCGGACCTCTCTGCAGACAGGGCTTCGGAGATGGCTGTGGCTCTCCGGAAACGTACGGATGTCGCCGGAGATAAGGAAAAACGGGATGAAGAAAAAAATTTCATTTATTTATGGCCAGTGATTGGAAACTTCAGGAAGAAAAACGGGATGAAAAAATAATAGTGATTGGAAAGGGATAGGGGCTGGTGTGAGCTGATAAGAATAATTTAATTTATCATTTATTTATAACCGTTGGATCTAGTTTTAGTTTTATCTGATCCAAAGGCTGTTATTTAACAGCTGGGGCTGCTGTTAGTGGGTCACAGCAGCCCCCCCCAAACCCGTGAAGTTGGTGGGTTTTACTCTGAACTGACAACAACCCGCGGCTCCAAACTGCCCTTCTCTTTTGTCCCCTTTGCACCAATCGTGTCTTGGTCCGACAACGACAGACTCGGCTCCAAACATGTTTATTGGATATATACACGATTCTATTCATGGAACGTATAAAAAAATATTCGATCTGAAATTATTAAACCAAAATATCGAAAAAATTGTTAAGAAAATGTAAAAAGAATAAACGTTTTTTTACAAATGTGAAGTAGATTGTTACAAAAATAAAAAATTTAGTATTATCATCAAAATCTCACGGTTTTAAACAATAAAATCTCACGTGTTTTTTTAGGAGATATCGTGTAAACATCAAATATGTATCGTTTTTTTTCTAATACAATTGATTTGAAATTAACTCACCAAAATTTCAGTAAATTGGTTAAGAAAAAAGGAATCATAAGACACAATTTTAGGGTGAGATCAAATTTTAAAAAGTTGCACACGGTTTTTTCCTTATAAAGTGTAATTGATTTGAATCATTTTCTTTTTCCTAAATAATTGCAAACGCTTTTGTTTCAAAATATCTTGAAAGTTATTAATCACATGGTTTTTTCCTAATTAAATGCAACCGAATTTATTTCAAGCTTTCTTGAAAGTTATTAATCACGTGGTTTAAAAAAATGTTGACATCCGAACTTAACCTCCGATAGGGACGTGACACGTAAGTGCGGTTTCGGGATAGTTAAAAGAGATTGGCATGTAGATGCCGCCGAGCTTGTCAGATCCCAACCGAACACGTTATTCTCAAGAAAAGAAAACGCCGAGCACTAGATCGGAGTAGCTAACACGAAATGCATTAATGAAGGATATGGCCGCCAACTACAACAATGTCAGGGACATGTGTCAATTCCCCCTTGCTCATATTAAGGTCGAGATTCTGGCATAATCATTAGTCATGCAATGTTGGCGTACCTTCTAAAAATAGATAAATTTCTTGTACCAGTTTTGCTATGGAGCCATCGGATGGCTCGACTTGTGGAGTCATCCACACTTATGCACCAATAGTGTATTGACACATGTCCTGCAATAAATACATTTTGGACAGGTGTTAATGCATTAAGTGATAGATGACTCCATAAGAAAACCATCTGATGGGTCTATAGAATTTTTGTATCTTGTACTACACACAGTTGTACTACACACAAACAGCATTCAACAGTACAACCTGTATGAATAGGTGAAAGGTCCACTCCAGCAAGACTGTTGGAAGATTCCTCAAATTACCCAAGAGAAAAAAGGCCGAACACAGCTCAGCAGATTACCCAAGTAATAAATAAAATCTCATTTACTTAAACATTGGTTGTTACAAAATCTTTAACCAAAAAAAAATAAAAAAATCCTACATTAGAATGTCAAATCGTTGAATTTACTAGTCAAATTTTCTAGTAACTTTTTTATATATACTAGTAAGCACATGTGCAATGCACGGGGCTTGTATTATCTACTTGCTTTTTATAATATAGTTTTGCATTTAAATTGTCTAATAAATGAATGATCATGACGGTACAAATATCACGAAAATAAAATCTTTATATTACTGAACACTTCGTTATATATAACATTCTTAGTTTGATAAAGTTTGTTTGAAGAGATAAATATAATTGAAAGAGATAAATATAAATGATTTACTATCAAACATGTTTATGTGATATACACGATTCTATTCATGGAATAGATACCTAAAAAGCCTATTTTGAAGTTGGCCAATTCCTTTGTTAAATAGTAAAACGCCCATTTTGAAGTGCAGACATGGGGCTCTACTGATGTTTAAAAGAATAGATTGGATTTTCAAAATCATCATGATTTGAGTTACATAGATTTGTTTTATCAAATTTAAGTTATTCATATTTTATTGATAATCTTTTATTTTTTGCAATAATAATTTTTTGTGTTGCTTGTTAGTTAATTTAAGTGTCATGTAAATATATAATATCAATCTTCTTCTTGTTTTTTTTTCCTGTTTGATTGTTTTCTTCTTATACATGCGTGGAAGAAGAGAAAGAAAGTGAAGAAGAAGAGAGAACATGCGTGGAGAAGAGAAAGAAGAGAAAAAATTAAATGAAGAACAGAGAGAAAGAAAAGAGATAAAGAGAAAACGGATGAACGAAAAGAGATAAAAAAATCTAAATTTGGAATGAAAATTTTGTTATTTCCTTGGTATAAATTACATGGGAATAAAGATACAACGGCAAACGTCTCTAAATCTGTAGCACACCAGATTTACGAACTCCGGCGAACTTAAACGGAGTCGAGAATCGAGCACTAAAAAATAGAAATAAAAATATCTCTTAGATAATTTTTCTCTATTTTTATTAGTAATATTTTGATCCCTCAAATATTCATTTGGACTGAATATTTTTATTCTCACTTTCCCTCTATTCTTTTCTCTCTCTTTCCTTTTCTTCTCTTTCACTTTCTTTTCTTTTCTTCTCTGCGTCTTCTTCTCTTCCTCCAACTCTCTATTTAAATAGATACAAGAGCAATTGTTGTGGTTGAACTCATTAATCAATTAGTTGCCACACCCAACCACATAATTAATTTACAAGAGATGCCCGACACATTAATTGAGGAAGGTTCCCTTCACGAGTGAAATTCATTCTATTGAATAACCAAGTGGTTGGGAAGGGAGTTGGATATTGTGTACAAATTGTTATTTTTACCGAGTACCTAATCGAAGGATTCATTCCCCGGATCGATCTCATAAGGAAGGCGGTTCGGAATTTAGCTTCAGTATTGATTTCACACAAAAAGAAAATAAAATCCTAAACACTCTAATCAAATAAGGGGGGTTGAATAATTATTAACTAAGAAATGAAATAAATAATAATCTACCTAAAAATATAAACAAAACAACGATAAAGAAGCTAGGGAGTCGGGGATAAGTAATTCAAGTTCTATTTGCACACCAGGACATTAATCATTCTATTCTAGATTGACGCTCTCGCTTAAGCATCTAGCGGTTCGCTCCCAATAACTCTTCGTAACAAGGGATTGAACATAGACGAACAAACTTGAGCATACGACACAGGCCAATTATCCCAATTCCAATAACTATTCGTAACAAGGGACGAGTCATGGACAAGCACGTATTTCAATCCAAAACCTATCGACTATTCAATTACGAAATCATCTACCTCATTCGAGCCTAAGTCTACGACTTCTCCCCTTTCGGTTCTAAAAGTCGCTAATTAAATTAGAAGAGAGTTAATCGACTAATCATATAGAATCAACAAAACCCTAACACGACTAATCAACATTCAATTGTTTCCAATTGCAAGATCGAAGTGTCACTCTTCGATTATATCAATCAATCAAACAATATTTCATCAATTCGTAATCAAATCAACCGCACAAGAACGAACAATTCAAGCCCGACAAATACACGTTAAACGAGAACAATCATCCCATATCCCTAGCAATAAGAATTAGCTAAGTAATGTCAATTCAACACAATCCATCATCTCTCTCAATTCAACCAGTATTCATGAATTAAAAATAAAGAGAAGAACTTACAATAAATCGCAATTCCAAGTGTTGAATTTGAATTACAAGCTTAATCCTTGAATACTAATAAAAAGAAGAAGAAAATTGGAAAAGAAAGATGAAGAGAAGAGGAAAAACAAAGAAGAAGAAGATGAAGAAGAAGAAGAGGAGGAATGAGAAGAAGGAGAAGAGGAAGAAGAAGGAGAAAAATGAAGGGGGGAGGTGATTTTCGGACCTAGGGTTCCTCCCCCTTCGAGCTGATGGTGAAAGAATCGAGAAGAAAACGAGTTTTTGAGGTTCTTATACCATTCTGGGACTTGCAGGGGACCTTAGCGCCGCTAAGGTGCCTTAGCCGTTCGGGCCAGTACTGTGTAGCGCCGCTATCCTGTGTGCCTTAGCGCCGCTAAGGTGCCTTAGCGGCGCTAAGGTTCTGGGCAGCCTGCTGGACTTTGCTTTTCGGGCTCGTTTGAACTCGGAATTGAGTTCCGTTTTTCCTACGCGTAGCTAACGAACCCCTCTATCTAACTATGTAATCCCAGCACATATTTTCCTGAAAACTTGTCCTCCCAAAGCTTCCGACCTGCACACCAAAAATGAAAGAAAAACGAAGGAAACCGGAAAAACACACGAAAAACACAAAAATACTCACAAAGACGCGAAACATGAAATAAATGACAAAACGACTCTAAAACCACACAAATGACTCAAAATGGGGGAAAAAGAACGAGAAAATAGACATGAAAAACGTAACAAAAATGGGACAAACATTGGACATTAGTTAGCATCACACATCCTGAGCATTATTGGGGTGGGTGTTGGGTGTACAATTAATAAAACACCCAACCAACTCATTTAATACACTCAATTACAACAATTCCCCACACGAGTGTAAATTAAATATATATACTATTGTTCTCAATCCTCAGCAAACTTTATTGCATCAGAAAATGTAGCTTTTGGCTTTGAACATTTCTTAGTAAACATCATCGGATGCACTGGCGGCCTAGTGGACATAATGCCTTGAACTATTCCTCCATAGTGTACACCGAGACAATGACATTCACATAATAGAGCTTTAACTCCATTACGTTCTATTGTTGTGTCCAGTTTGGCCATGGACAACACAATGGATTTATAAGTGTTTACATTTGAAGCGGCCCACACTTCACACTTATATAGGTGACCTCCCTATCAAGAGTATTCTGTCATACTCCACCTTTACAAGGTTAGGGATTCATTAGAAGTCCATATGACTTACTCTCACCACAATCAACATGTCATCTTGCACTTGAAGTGCTCTGGGGAATAGCTTTGGACATTCATATGTTCCAAGTGCTCAACTGAATTTTCATAGCTAGTTTTCCCTTTGAACCAAGTTCGTGGGATCTCCACTCAGTATGGTAGGGTTACCACTATGATCATTCTTTACATTGTGGATTTTTAAGTCCATTCCCTCTAGAAAAACTCCAATTTGATCTCTATTCAATCCTTTCGTCAAAGGATCAGCCAAATTTTTCTTAGACTTCACATAGTCAATAGAAATAACACCATCTGAGATCAATTGACATACGGTATTATGTCTACGACAAATATGTCTAGACTTACCGTTATACAAGTTTTTTGCGCCGTACCTATAGCAGCTTGGCTATCACAGCAGGCGGCAAAGTTTTATCCGAACATGGAATATCGGATAAAAAATTTCTAAGCCACTCTGCTTCTTCTCCAGCTTTGTCTAAATCGATGAACTCCGATTCCATCGTTGACCGAGCTATACACGTTTGTTTTATGAATTTCCACGAAACTGCAACTCCTCCAATACAGAAAACATATCCGCTAGTGGAGCGAGAATCTCTCGAATTTGATATCCAGCTTGCATCATAGTACCCTTCAAGTACGGCTGGGTATCTCGAGTATTTTAGTCCGTATTCAAGAGTGTAACTCATGTACTTAAGTACGCTTCTCAAAGCATTCCAGTGCTCATGACTGGGATTGCTTGTAAATCTGCTCAACTTATTCAACGGGTAGGCTAAGTCTGGTCGTGTACAATTCGTCAAGTACATCAGACTCCCTATTATCCGTATATTCCAACTGAGCCACTGGTTGACCTTTATTGGCTACCAGATTTATACTTAGATCAACGGGTGTCTTACACCTAGACTGTGCACCGTCATAGATATCAAATTTCTTGAGCACTTTCTCTACATAATGAGATTGTGACAAGACAATTCCATCTTGGGTTCTGATAATCCTTATTCCAAGAATAACATCAGCCAAACCCATATCTTTCATGTCGAAATTTCTTTTCAACATTCTTTTCGTATCCATGATCACTTCAGGGCTACTCCCCATGATCAACATATCGTCTACATATAGACATACAATCACAAATGTATTTGATGTACCCTTGACATAAACACATTTGTCACATTCGTTGATTTTGAACTCATTTGACAACATCATGTCATCAAATTTCAAATACCATTGTTTCGGAGTTTGTTTCAGTCCGTACAATGATTTGATCAATCTACACACCTTTCTCTCTTGTCCAGGTGCAACAAACCCTTCAGGTTGTTCCATGTATGTTTCTTCTTCCAATTCACCATTCAAAAATGTCGTCTTGGCATCCATTTGGTGAATCTCAAGACTGTGCAAAGCAGCAATCGAAAGAAACACTCTTATCGACGCTAAAGGCGTAACTAGTGAATAAGTATCAAAGAAATCATACCCTTCCTTTTATCTAAAGCCTTTGACCACCAAACGTGCTTTAAACTTATCAATCGATCCATCAGCTTTATATTTCTTATTTAGGATCCACTTGCATCCTAAAGGTTTACAAACATCAGGGAGATCAACCAACTCCCAAGTATGATTCTGCATAATGGACTCGTTTTCACTATTTACAGCTTCTTCCCAGAGTGGTCCATCTGGGCTGGACAAATCTTCCTTTTATGGAACTCGGTTCATCGTCCAACATGTACGTAATAAAATCAGGTCCAAACTTTTTTACCGTTTTTACCCTTTTACTACGTCTCGGTTCTTCATCAGTACCATCTGCTACAGAACCACTAGCAGTTCATATATTCGTTTAGAACTAGATTCTGCTCTTTCCTTCAGAGGAAAAATATTCTCAAAGAATATAGCATTCCTCGACTCAATCGTGGAACCCACAGATACCTCTGGATTTTCTGATTTATGAACCAGAAATCTATATGCCATACTATTATAAGCATATGCAATAAATACACAATCGACCGTCTTTGGTCCAATTCTCATTTGTTTGGGTTCAGGAACTGAAACCTTAGCCAAACACCCCCACACTTTCAGGTATTTTATTATTTATAAGACGGCTTACGATTTTTCCATAATTCGTAAGGAGTCTCATCTTTCCCTTTAGGTGATATTTTATTTAGGATATGATTTGCTGTTAAAACAGCTTCCCCCACATGCTTTGGGGTAGTCCCGAATTTATCAACATGACATTCATCATTTCTTTTAACGTACGGTTCTTGCGTTCAACAACACCGTTAGACTGTGGAGAATAAGGGGTCGTCATTTGATGAATTATGCCATATTCAGTACATATTTGTTCAAAAGGAGCTATATACTCCCCATCCCTATTACTTCGGATTATTTTAATCCTTTTACCGAGTTGATTTTCAACTTCGGTCTTATAGATCTTAAACGCTTCCACAGTCTCGTCTTTGATTCTTAACAAATATAAGTAGCAAAACCTTGTGCAATCATCGATAAAAGTAATAAAATACTTTTTACCCATTCTTGTTTGCACACTTTTCATATCACATACATCAGTATGAATCAAGCCTAATGGTTCAGTACTCCTTTCCACCGAGTGAAAAAGCAACTTAGCCATTTTTGCTTCATTACAAATTTCACATTTCTTATGTGATTCGATTTTAGTATTAGAAATTAATTCTAAATTCATCAACCGTTTAATTGCATTTATATTTACATGTCCCAATATAATATGCCATAAATCAGAGCATTCAACGGTATAAACGGAAATAGACTTTCATTATCATTAGTAACGGTTACACGGCTCACGACCATTACATTCACTTTGAACAAACCCTTGTCGAGATACCCACGACCAAGGAATATTCCAAACTTGCTAAGAACAAACTTAGCATCATATACCAGCCTAAATCAATGCTCAACAAGAAGAGATCCGGAGACCAAATTCTTGTGGATGTCTGGGACATGCAGAACATTCTTAAGCTTCAACTCCTTTCCAGAAGTCAGCTTCAGCATCAGTCATGGAGGAGTTTACCATGTGAAGTTTCCAACCCTTAGCAGGAGTGTATTCAGAAAATACCTCCTTATCGGAACACAATGACGAGTGGCACCAATATCGATGTACCACTCCCTTGGGTTATCCACCATATTGGCTTCAAACACCACTGCCGACATATCAAAGTCAGTCAGTTCATCCGGCACATGGCCGTGTTCAGCAACAAGGGCACTCGGTTGCCTTTTCTTTGTCTCAGCCTTCTTTGGCCTCTTGCAGTCTTTCGCCATATGGTTTGGCTTTCCATAGTTGTAACAGGTTCCGGTAAACTTCCAAACCTTGGCAGGCTGCTTCCCCTTGTTGAGGGGCTTTCTCTTGTTCGAATTGCCTTGCTCCAGCAAATTAGCACGAGCCTCCATCATCTGAGATTTTCCAGATGAGTTACGGTTGTCCTCCTCAATACGAAGACGAACAACCAGGTCTTCAAGACTCATCTCATTCCTCTTATGTTTGAGGTAGTTCTTGAAGTCTTTCCAACCCGACGGCAGCTTTTCAATCACAACCGCAACTTAGAATGACTTGCTCAGAGACATCCCTTCAGCATGGATATCGTGCAAGATGAGTTGGAACTTTTGCACTTGAGACACAACGGTCTTAGTGTCAACCATTTTGAAGTCAAGAAATTTGCCGACGACGAATTTATTCGCCCCGGCATCCTCAGTCTTGTACTTCTTCTCCAAAGCAGCCCAAAGCTCTTTGGCAGAACCAACCGAGCTGTACACATTATACAACTCGTTACTAAGTCCGTTCAGGACGTAGTTACAACAAAGGTAATCACTTTGCCCCCAAGCCTCGTACGCAGTGCGTAGTTCAACATTGGTCTCATTTTCAGCAATAACCGGGGGGTCATCCTTAAGTATTTCACCAAACCCAAAGTGGTCTGGTAAAAATGCATCTTTTGTTTCCATCTCTTGAAATCAAGCCCAATGAATTTTTTGGGCTTCTCAGCAGTAGGGACATGGACAACCGGTACAGGATGAACAACAGGGTTGATCCGCTGCTGAGTGTAGGAACCATCTCCGGTAGATGCCATCAGTTCTGTAGGTCGTGATATTCTTCTTGCGATTGTTATTTCCTTGGTATAAATTACACGGGAATCCTACGAACTGATATGTATTTTTCAGTTCTTACAAATAATCTAAAATATAAAATTACAATTTAACTAAAAAATAAATTACAACTGAAGAATAAATTAAAGCTTAAAAACAAAACGAAAAGATTAAAGCCGAGACAAGTAAAACTCTTTCACTTTCTTTTCTTTTCTTCTTTGCGTCTTCTTCTCTTCCTCCAGCTCTCTCTATTTATATAGATACAAGAGCAATTGTTGTGGTTGAACTCATTAATCAATTAATTGCCACACCCAACCACATAATAATTTACAAGAGATGCCTGACACATTAATTGAGGAAGGTCGCCATTAGATGCCAATAAACATTAAATAACCAAGTGATTGGGAAGGGAGCTGGACATTAGTTGGCATCACACGTCTTGAGCATTATTGGGGTGAGTGTTGGGATTACAATTAATAAAACACCCAACCAACTCATTTAACACACTCAATTACAACAAATGTTTAATTGTGGAATTCTATACCTATGGGATTATTGATGAAATAATCTTTTATAAAAGACATGTTTATGACTTTTTTTCACCAAAAATGAGATATAAGGTCGATAACTCAACAAAATGGGCGACCTTGTTGATCTCAGGCCTCTATTTGACCAGTTTAGCTACGGGCCATTTTGGACCGTCCTTGCCTTCGGGCCTGCCCTTTTTCCGTGTTGGGTTAAAACGGTGACCTACAAAATATCTTCAAACTCCGGCCCAAGAAGAAAATTAAGAACATTCTCTCTCTCCTCCACAATACAAGCCAAATCTGCTTCTTCGCCTCTCCCCACACCCTTCAAGCGCCCGCTTCATCGCCGTCAAGCGTTTCTGCTCTCCCAACACCTTATAACGTCGAGGGGTTGACTTCACCTTCACGAGAAGGTATAAAAAAGTTTTTTTTTTTCTTTTCTGTAATTCTAAATTTATGATTTTTCTGGTTTTAGATTTGTTTAATCGGGTGTGAAATTGGGGTAATTAGCGTTAGTTAGTGGAATTTGATCTATAGCCCTATCAGAGTGCTCTATATACAATGAAAATTGAGATGTGTTTTAACTCTTAGAGGGTTCGTCGGATTTCCTTTTTATTTTTCATAAAGTTGAGATGTGTTTTAAGTGAATTCGTTTTTCATAATTTACCTCTTTCTTTCTGTCTCTTTTTTTCTTTTAACAAAATTGGCCTTCAGATAAGCGTCACGGGAGCTGATTTCACACACTTCTCCACATTTCTTCTGCTTTCTTGTTTTCCATTGCTTTGCAGCGTTGATTATCCCATTCTAATATAAATTTGTTTTGGATAAGTATATACAACTCTCTGCCAAGAATTTTCTTCTTCTTTTTATCTTCCTTTCCATTGCTGTTCGCCACTGTACAGCTATCCTCTTGCTGGTAGAACCTTCTGAATTATATGCTAAATTGTTTGTAGAATTCATATGCATGCACAATTTTTGGAATTGGAACCGAATAGACTGGAACGGGGCCAAAAATGGCCGCAGGCTGACGAGCCCTGAACACAACCTTCGTGTTCAACCTTTGGGCTACCAGAACTTTATTAAACTTGTATTTTGCGAAAGTCCTCGTCTCTAGTATCATGTTGGTAATTATGAATTTCAATTTGGGTTGTGTGAGGTGTGCGGGCTGTGGGTATGCGTTTGCATGAAGTGTGCTGGCTGTATGTGCGATTAGCTTATTTGTGTTGAGTTTGACTCCTGAGTAAGCTCCGGTGAAGTAAGTGTACTTTTGGAAATTTAATGAACATTTAGACTTAATTGTACTTTTTCAAAGTTGTTGTTGATAAATTTTACTGCTGTTTTGACCCTTGTAAGTTGTAATGTAGCTGTCTGTTTTTGGTTTCTTCAAGAAACTTGTATCTCAATCAATTGTTGCCTTTAGGTGGGCACAAGAATTCCCCGATTATCTATCTTATATGAACAGTTATTCTCAAAATACAATCACTGCACAGGGTTGTTTTATGTCAAACATCTCCTTGCTGCCTGTTTATGATACTTTTTCCCTTACCTAACATCTTGTTTTGCTTCCAATACTTCATGAACGTCGTAGATATGACTCTTCTCTATCTATTTTTCATAAAAGGTAATACTCAAAATACAAGTGTCGTGCTTAGCTTTAGGTCAATGTAGTTGTGCTGATTTTTGGACCATTTTCATCTTCTTAACCTGCTCACAAGTGTTGGGAGTCTTCACTCGTAATTTTGTAGTTTGTCTTCTCCTAATTGAGCCTGTCCGTCACGAACCCATATCAGATTACACTGAAGGTGATAGCTGAGAAGTGAATTCATAGCTGGTCTGGTGTGTTCAATAAATAGATAGGCCGGTCCGTTTGGCGCTGCATGGTCTGTTTCATACTTTCACTATGTTTTCCTCTTAGTAGCTAGCGTAAGAAAGCTCACCTTAGAATTCTGGGTGGGCAGTTTCTCAGCCGTTTATGAAGCTCAATCCAGAGGGGCTATAGCTCATGTTCAAGCAGAGGTTTCTATGCCCTCCCAGAAATATCAATAAGGAAGTGCATTCCTTCGATTTGGCATGGAGCCGTCAAGACTAGAATAGCCAGCCAGACTAGGAGGGAGAGTTTCTGTTCTTCCCTATTTTCTATTTTGCGATATGGAATTCATGTAAGACTGAATCAAATATCTAATTTCTAGCAGTATTATCAAATGGCGGCCATGGCGATATGGCGTGGTGAAGTTTTGACAAACAGCCATGCTAACTTAGTGAAGGGGCCTCGCCATTTACCATAATCCGCTATTAATAACATTGATTTCTAGTAAAAGATACCTCCTAAGAGTCTTCACAAGAGTTTTAGTTCAATATCTTATGTTTTCATTTCTTCAGGAAGCAACTCGATATCTATTTTATGGATTAAGTTGTTGTGAAAATACAAACGCTGCACAAAGCTAACGTGTGGTTTGTCTGTTTGACGCTGTCCCTTCCTTTCTGACATTTGGGTTCTCGAAGTACATTGATTTGTTGAGCCGAGCCTAAGTCTGACCCAATAATTAAGGTTTGTTTGTCACACCTAGTAGGCAAAAGTTTTGAAAATTAATTCTTTACAAGGAACTATAATTTATTTCATAAGGACATATTTTAAATCCTTAATGACATGTTTCTTCTGTCATAAAACATATATTTGAATTTGCATTATGCTCATGATTGTGTCTTGGAATCACTATTTAATTCCTATGCCCGATACATGATAATATGCGATAAGCTTGAACATGTCTTGTGTATGTTATCGGAAAGCATGGATTTGGTCAATTAACCGAGTAGAGATGCGTTCATCGATTCTCCCGAGATTCTACAGTTGCGGCGAGCAAACATAGTAATGACGAGGAAAGCATTGCTACGCATGGTCTAGTCCATACCCTAGTCGGACTGGAGCCATCAAGGGGGTTGGGTCGTAGTTTTTGGTATATTCTAGAATATGATGCCATTTGGGTTTCGTCTCTACCAAAGAAAGGTCAAGCTATGTGGAAGGGAAAAGGTTGATAGGAGAAGACGTCGGCCAATCCTGGTGTATTTCCACATCGGCACAGTAACTAAGTGCTCCTGTTTGTGTTATTGAACTTGCTTTGCTTGTTTGAACCAATCTGATTTCTCGATTTTTTTTTGATTTGTTTGTGCATATCATGCTCTCATAAAATCCGTTTTGCACAATAAGTGCACGCGTTGATGTTTTATAAAATTGCTTTAAAAAATGTTGCATTCTGTCTACTGAGCCCTTTTTGGCTCACCCCATGTTTTTGAAAAATTTTCAGATATGTAACATCTAGGGTGGATCATGACTTGCTATTCGGACATGTTACGAATCTCGGGCCCATCTTAGCTTGCCTTCTGGATGGAGTTTCTCTATGTCAACTTGGAATTTCTAGTTTTGTTGAAGTTGTTTTGAATTAGTGTTTTAGTTAGAAGCTTCCACTGTTAGTTCCTTGTTCTTTTGAATTTTGTTCGATACTGTAGAGTTATATATTATTTTCCCATATTTAGGTTTGATGTGTGACATCAGCTTTTGTTTTAATATTAACTGAGTAGCCTTAGCTTTTACTTGGATCATACTCTTACGACTAACTTATGAGTTTCTACTTCATTATTATTTTTAAAATTATCGCTCACCATTGCTCCTTGTGTAGGTTGTTTGCTTCAAGCATCAGTTGGTGATTCAATTTTTTTTTCTAGCAATGGTATGCTCGTACTTCCTATCTATCTTCACACACATAATTATATTCATGCTTTTGTTGTTGGCTTGTGCATTTGAACACCTTAAATAGTCATATTTATTTTTAATGAGATTTGAGAGAGGGGACATGAAAAGTTCTGTATACTGATGTAAACTGGAAACTGGAAACTGTGAAATGCCTTAAGCTAAGGTCAGCGCATATTTGGTAAATTTGGTCCCATGGGACCAAATTTGCAACCCATGTGAAATGCTCAAAGTCAAACTACGTAATTTAGAATGTCAATATTTTGTCCTCATATTCATCATGAAGCTTGCATTTTGTTTTAGTTTGGATTTCAAAAGGCTGGGAATTTTTTTAACAAAGTTTTTACGCCATGGCCATGAAATTTCAATATGGCTGGTATGGTGAAACATATTTAGGTGAATGATAATATGAGTTTTCTTAGGTGTGGCTGCAAAAACTTGGGAAACCGTGCCTGTTGGTGTTTGGCCTGCAGGGTGATATCATTTTGCACATTGTCTATCATAGTAGCTCTTGATCATTGGTTAAGATATGCAATTTGTGCGTTTAGCCTTCCAGTATATTTTAATTTCCACAAAATCTAGCTCGGGTCTTAATGGCGAGCAATGTTATTTTTTGTAAGCGAGTCGTGGAACAATTTTATACTTGGACTTGGGATCAACGGAACATATACACAAGCTCGGTGTCCTCCTTTTGAAATATTTTCTATTTTCTTATAAATGGCTATTCAATTTTGTCGCATATCTTGCAGGCTGCCAAGATTCTTGCTAATTTGATCATTATGGGGTCTGGCATAATGGCTAGAGCACTTGTTCAAGCATATCGTCAGGCACTTGCGAGTAAGTCATCCTTCAAACTGTTTTAGTTCATGACCTTTTCTGAATAAAGTGCACTAACTCTATTTTTATCGAATATATCAAGTCTCTTGTCCTTGCTTTTTGTGCGCAATTCGTTTATTCTATTTATGTCTTTTTGTGTTTCCGTGGAAACACATGAGGTAGTTAGTAGACCGACGCCTAATATCCAGATTGATGTATCAAATTTTAAGCTATGCTTCAAGATTCAACTGGTGTATCTCTTTAGCACCTGCTAACTACCGAATTAAATTGCAGATGCCTCTAAAAACGGGGTTGCTCAGGAGGCAGCACACCACATAAAGAGAGGCAGTAAAATGATGACCGAGGCAGAAGCTAGGCAAATTCTTGGGGTCTCTGAGAATTCAACTTGGGAAGAGATTGTGCAGGTTTTGTTTTTTCCTATTTTTCTTTTTCCTCTTTTTGGTATTTGCCTGTGAAAGAAGAGAAAATTGCAAATTTAGTACCACGCCCTTCCCAAATTTTGCATGGCGGATTGTCAAAAATCCGCCGCGCCATACCACCATGGCACTGCCATGACCGTTGGCCGCCATTTGATAACACTGGTCCCACATGGTTGACCGTGTTACAAATTTGGTCTCATGGGTTGCAAAAATGGTTATTTAGTTTTTTTTTTTTTTTTCTTTTTTGCAATTTTAGTCCCATGGCCGTTAAAAGTTAATGGATTTTGACAGAACCGTTGAGTGATTATTATGAGAGTGAAAATTGCAAAATCGGTCCCCAGAATATAATGAGTTCCAAATTTGGTAGTCCTAAACATTTTTTTGTTGCAAGAATAATGTTTCAAGTATCATGAACGAATTTCACAAATTTTTCATTTTGAAAAAATATATATATTTATATTGCATATTACTTTATTATATAACACGTTTAAAGATTATAAACAACATTTTTTAACATTATTATTTATTTTATTTAAGTTTAACAATAATTTGGCCAATAACTCGAACTTGTAGCAAATCTACTATTAGAATAAGGGGAAATAATAAAAAAGTAATAACAAAGTGAATAATTCTTCATATTAAAAAATACTTTTGGATGAGTAATATTATACCTAAACTACAAATAATCCACAAATAATATGTGATAAATAGATTCATTGGATTGTAATTATTTGTAAATATTAATACAGAAATGTGAAATAACATGTATTAGGATTGTATGATGAAAAAATCGGTTATTCTTTTGATAAGTATTTTATATCTCGTAATAGACACATTCAAATCAGTCAAATTACTCTGGTTTAGTGGCTGAGTGGTTGAATTAGACTGCTACTTAATTGTATAATATTTTTATGTATAGTCATTTTAACAATAAAATTTACGTATAAATCATCCTTAATTCAATATTTATGTTGCGCAAATTGAGCCTCGACCGGATTTGAACCGCCTTCCGTTGGTTTGAACCGCCTTGGCGTCTCCGATGACCTCGGGAGGGGTCCCGGCAAAAAACACTCTGATGCTCAAGTTAGCCCAACGTTCAACGATAATATGTCGAGAAAGTAAATTCGTGCGTGTGTGTTGTGTAAAAAGAATGAACCTGTGTCCCTTTTATAGTAATAGTTGAGGTTACGCATAAGCCGAAGAATTCTTGTTGGACAAAAGTCTTTCTAGTATCTACCTCTTATTTAGGTTAAAGATTTTCGAATCTTTAGACTCTTTAACGTTGTAGACTTCCTCATAATTTGATTATGGAATTATCCCCATACCCTCTACTAGGCGAAACCTTCAGCTGAGGTCATCTTCCTCCGGCTCCGCCGTCTCCTTCACGCTGCGGTCGGCCGTGCCGAGCTACAGAGGACGCACGCGCCGAGCGCCTTCACACCGCGGGAGCGCGTCGAGCTCCTTCACACCGCGGGCGCACCGTGAGCGACCATGCCGAGTTGCGGCTGAGCTCGGCCAATGCCTGGTCTTCCGTGAAGGCTGTATCATCTAGCCCCCCCTCCCCCCAAACCCCCTACCAATTTCTTAGACGAGTTGTCGCAACTTGTTCCAAGAAATGGAAAAATTAATCACGTTGTGGTAAGTAATCACACCCTTTCTGGAAAGATCATGAGTCGCATATCTCAACCGTGCTTACCTCATTCGAGCTCCCTCGCCGTTGTGCAAGCCTCTCTTCTGATGCCAAGCCGACCTCCCGAACTTGGAAATCGACTTCGAGCACCACCCGCGGCATCGACGTGGTCGTTGCACCATCCCACGCCGACTTCCCGACGTGCGAAGTGCCGAGGCGCGACCCGACGTGCGAAGTGTCGAGGTGCGGACCCAACGTGTGAAGTGCCGAGGTGCGGACCCGACGTGCGGAGTGCCGAGCTCTGGACCCGACGTGCGGAGTGCCGAGCTGCGGACCCGACGTGCAAGGTGCCGAGCTGCGGACCCGACGTGCGAGGTGCCGAGCTGCGAACCCAATGTGCGAAAGGGCTGCCTATCGCCCGGCCAGGGCCTTCCTCACCTACCTATTGCACATGCTTTCCTATCCTCACCTACCCACTCCCTTGGAAATGTAGAACATGACATCACCCAATCTTCTACAAGCTTCCTTCTCCACCCTTGATCAAAACCAAAATTAACGGTTTAGATCGGCCAAGCCTTGCAACTCCCTCATCTATAAGACCCACTTCCTCTTGGAATTTGTCATCAACATTTGCCTCTTTTTTTTTTTTTTTCAATAAGCTCACATCTCCTCTTTTATTCCAACGGTCTTAGCCTCCCGATGAGCTCGCACGGCGCCACCGGAAGCGACATACCAACCCACGCAACATGTCGGATGGCTTCATGTTGCTCTTATTTATTTGCCTTGGTGAGGGATGAGGTCACAAGGGACATACAAGGTGATATTCCTTGGTGTATGCTCTTTGCTGATGATGTGGTGCTAGTTGACGAGAGTAGAGTATGGGTAAATAGGAAGTTAGAGCTGTGGAAGGATACGTTAGAGTCGAAAGGTTTCAGACTTGGTAGGACGAAGACCGAGTACATGACGTGCGCTTTCAGCATGGCTTCACATGATGATGGTGACGTTAGCCTTGACGGGCAAGTGGTGGCCAAGAAGGAGACTTTTCGATATTTAGGATCGATGCTACAAAAGGATGGCGGCATTGATGCTGATGTTAGGTATAGAATTGCAGCCGGTTGGTTGAAATGGCGGCAAGCTTCGAGCATTCCCTGTGATAAGAGGGTACCACAGAGCTAAAAGGTAAGTTTTATAGGATTGCGATTCGCCCGACGATGCTATACGGTGCTGAATGTTGGCCTACATAAAGGCAACATGTCCAACAACTAAGTGTAGCAGAGATGCGTATGCTGCGATGGTTCTGCGGGCACACAAGAAGGGATAGAATCCGGAATGAAGATATTCGAGATAGGGTCGAGGTGGCTCCAATTGAGGAGAAATTGGTTCAACATCGGCTGAGGCTGGTTCGGACATGTCCAACGGAGGCCTCCTGATGCACCGGTGCGTAGGGGAGTTCTACAGTGGTTCAAGGACGTAAAGAGAGGTAGAGGTCGGTCTAAACTCACTTGAGAAGAGTCGGTTAAGAGAGACCTTAAAGATTGGAATATCTCCGGTGGATAGGAGCGCTTAGAGGCTAGCTATCTACGTGCCAGAACCGTGACTTTTGCTCCCTTCTCTTTTGCTCCAATCTCTTCCTTTTGTTTCAACACCTTTTTGTGTTTCTTTTACCGATGGTTCTCTTGGGTTTCATCTCTAGCCTACCCCTGCTTGGGACTATTGTTGTTGTTGTTGTAGTTAGATTCACTCCCCTTCCTTGTCACCTTTTTTTTTTTAATTGTCCTACTTCCTTGTATGTTTTTCGATTGTTGTTCGACCTACGTGTATGCTAGAGTACCCCGCCTCTAAAACTAACACGAGCTCCATCCCTCTTTCTCCTTCGCATTCTTCGCATTCTCCACCCGTAGGACAACCCTCCATCACCTGAGCCGACTATACCGCCTGCTTTTGAACCATTTCTCTCCCAACGCAATCCGTCTTCTCATCGGTTTCGTCATGATATGCCGAGCCCGCCTCGGCAGGTTTGACCCCAACTTGTGCTTCTACTGTCTATAGCCAAAATCCCTGAACCGCTCATTCTACCTTTTGCGCCGCAACAATACCCACTTCTACTGTCTGTGGCCAAAATCCCTGAACGGCTCGTTATAGTAATTTAAACAATTATTTTTATTAATATGCTTTTATTTAAAAAAGTATTTTGAAATGGAGAAAATATTGTGTTGTAATTTAATTGTAAATAATGATACACTATAAAAACGAGAAATAATATTTGTTAAAATGATATGATGTTAAAAAAATAATAAGATATTAACTACTTATCAAAAACATAAGACTCAAAATTTGCAACACATTTATTCTTGTGGGATTGAATTTGCAATTCCTCTTGAAAGATTCTATTCGTTGGTTCTGTAGCATGTGTAATTTTACAACCTTGAACTTTCTGATGTTTTTGCTGCAGAAGTATGATAATTTGTTTGAACGGAATGCGAAAAATGGGAGTTTTTATCTCCAATCAAAGGTTCATAGAGCCAAAGAGTGTCTGGAAACCCTTCACCAACCGAAAGAGCACGACACGAGTTGAAAGAATGGTTTTTGTGGTTTATTCATTGAGTAGGACGTGTCTTGCATAATTAATGGTGGTGTTGGGGTTTATCTTTTCATGTTTGTGCAATGNGGGGTTTGGTCTCATGATTTTGTATGTATAAGCTCGAGGATCGTAGTGTACGTTTAAGTTTTTGGGTTAATTATACAATAAAACCCATTAGAGCTTTCTAAACTACCTATCAATTTATTTTTTTTCTTAGGGTTGCTAGAACAGAAACACGGGAAGTTAAGTTTTGATCCCTTTGTATTATTATTAATTTTTTTTTTTGCCCTAATTCTTGAAAGGTTCATAAGAGAAGAAGAGAAGGAATTGGCAACGTTGGTAATAATTTTATTATTATGTTTATTAGAAAATACATGATATGGAAACAACTTTTTAATAGAATTATTCAGAAGATTTGGTTGTTATTCAAAAGATTTTGTGTTCAAATGAATGATTTTTCTAATTTGCTCTAATATTCTACGGCCTTAATTTTTGTTTAGATATGATATATGTGAATAGGGTTAAGGTATTGTGGAAATGTGAGAAATGGTTAATAATGAAAGAAATAAGAATGAATAATATTTAATAAATGAACGACCAAGGAGTCACAAGGCATACTAGATAATTTTTAACAAAAAAATATTTTTTTAACGAACGATGCGGATGCATTGAACGTACATTTGAGTTTATAGATCTGCACTATGCATTCACATATTTGCACAATAAGAGCATAGTGACACACTGTTCAAAAGTAAAAAAAGAGGATAAACAATGCCCAAAATAGTGTATTAATAAATAACATAATTGTTCTTATATTTCAATAAAATAAAATACTGAAATACCAAAAAATAAACTTTGAGGATAATTTTTGCTTGTCATACTTTATGGACATTTGTGCAAATCAAAGATGCACAATAATGATAAGTGATATGCACAATATTACATGTGAATATGCATCGTATTTGACAAAATTACAAAAGTGACACCGTCTAGATATTTAAAAGTACATAATTATCAAAATGGCAACATACTTTTTTCTAAATGTTTGACCAATTGACTCGTAATAATCAATTGAGAATTGGTTATTTGTTCAAAATTAATTTGATGAGCTGAAAGTCACAGGTCAGGGATGTATTGTAACTAAAAAATGAAGTTCACATTTATTTTTCCTCAAAATCCTGCACAATTTATTCCGTGCTTGTTCACCTCCATAGCCACCGAAGTATGCACTTTGTATTTAGCAAATAAAGCAATTTTGATAACTAAGTATGCACTTTTAAAATTTAAGTATAAAGTTAACAAAGAAAATGTGCAATTGATATAAATTAAATATGCATTATGTTTGAACTAAATATGCAATTATGAACTGAAGGCCATTCCGAAGATGCTGGCAAAATTTGCAGCTCCCTTGCACATGACTTAGGCTCATGGAGATGAAGACCATGCGTCCGGAGGCGACCAGAAGGACACCATCGTGGTCCGATCGTTGGAGATCGGCCTTTGTGAACCAACGAGAACTGTGACGGTGGTGGTTTCAAAGAGTTAAAAATTGAAGAGTGAAAGACCGAATCGTGGGGAGGGAAAGAAAATTTGTCATTATAATAACAAATCCGGTAGTTCAAATTATTAATAAAATTTAAAAGATTAAATCTTAACTACACATTTGATCCCTATTTTATGATTAGAATTTATCTCCATATTCTCTTTTAAAAATAGTGACCAATTATATAGGGATCTTCATTTAAATGACCAAGTCAAAGGTCTTGTTTGTGTAAATGACCTCTTCTCATTTTTAATAAAATATGATAAATGAAATGTCAAAAACACCCTTATGTTATATAACAAATGTTCCTTCATTTGTCATTATGATATAACGAAAGTAGTTTCGTTATCTAATATATATCTTTTGCTCGAACTTATTATATTTTAAGTCATAATTCCTTACTTATATCTTAAACCTTTTGTTCAGTTTTATATATTTTTTGTTAGGTTTTATGATTACTTCAGTACAAGTATCCATTTTCGAAGAACTAGCTTCATCTTCTTCATTATTTGTTCAAGAATAATGTAGTCTATTTTAGGTCTAACGAAAGATGAAGTTCTATATATTTGAAAAGTCCTTTTAGGCGTTCCTAACTATAATATGGGTGAAAACAATTAATCAATTTCAATTTTATCATGAGGTTTGAATGACATACTATGAGGACTGTTAGTCAATGCATAGTTTGTTCTCTATGTTACTGAAAATTGGTGGTTTCCAGTTTTCACTATATTTTTTTTTTTCATTTTCCAACACAAAGTGATGAAGTCATTTAAATTGTTGTCTAATAAAAACATTCCAACTTGGTAGTTTAAGTTGAATTTAATTTTACTAAATTTTAGATTTCTACTTCCTTCAGTCGTTAGAGCATTAGAATAATCAATCATCCTATTATTAACTAGTCTTATTGTGATAGGTGAATCTATTCCTAGACTGTATGTTGATTTAAGAATCATTTGTATATTAAAAATATGTAAGTAAGAAAATTTATTCCTAGTTTATGCTTTTATACCTTTCATTTTTGAAAGTATTTGTTCACTCCCTCCACCCAAATTACATGGGCTCCACTAACCTCGATTTATCTCTCCGTACCAAAGATATAACATCGATTAATTAATTTCAATTACTGACAATTTAATAAATTAACTTCTTGATTTTCTGAGACTGGTACTAGTCAAACCTTATTATTATGCGAGAATTAAATCTACAGAGCTTGACATAATAAACCGTTAGAACTCATATGAGGAATGTCATCAACCTGACGCACCAGTGCATAATGACCTAGTATAATTGGTAGCACACCATGTGATTAATAATAATAATTCCCAACTCACAAAGTTATTGACCTACTCGAATAAGTCTAACCCTTTGATGAATTGAAGAACAATTATTAATCACACGTGCCCATCGTTATCAAACGGCTAAAGAGTATACTATACCATACCGATAGATTTGTCCATTGCTATCTCGGTTATGAACCGTATTTATATTGCACAAGGAATCGATAATACAACCTTTTGTGCGACAACACCACACTGTATTATCTTCAATGTAGATAACATGACAAAAGGCAAATTCATACATAAAGTAAATTGCACATACATTGACTGAACATAATTGTTTATTCAAAACGGAAATAATATTCAAACGAAGCAATGATTTCCGTATACAAACCATCAATAAGGACCTTAGAGGCAAACCGGTTTAGCCAAAAATCGAGCTAGGACTGCAGGATAGTCTGATGAAAACTCAATCTGGACATGAAACCTAAAGTGCATACTTGCTCAATAAAGTATACAAGCAACCGAGTTATAAACGGACGTATGAGTGTGAACACACCAAATAATGGATACGTAAGAATATCATTAAGATAAGAAGGACACGTGGATAACATAATTGGACAGTCCAGACACCGGAGCAATTGAGATCAAGCAGATCTTGGGCAACACGAATATTTGGGAAGCAAGATCAGATAGATCTTAAGCAATAAGGTAAATGACTATATATATAAGAGGATGGTGTATGATCATTATTCCACCACGCACTCTGAATATTTTAGACTCATATACATAGAATACATCTTCATTCCCGATCACTAAATTGAGTGTCGGAGCTTCTATGTCGAGACAACCCCTCATACTATTTTGCAGGTCATATCACCAATTTAAGGATGTATCGAAGGACGTTGGACCGAGTTAAAGTCATTTACACTACCACGCGAAATTGCTGGTCTCCTCAATCCTCACATATCCTCGCGTCATGAGCATGCTAATTCGTACAATCTCGAATAACCCTAAATCCAAGGCGCATCCCGTTAAACTATAGTAATTAGCAATTGAGGCTTAGGGTCACAAAGGGGCACAATTGAGGCTATGTTCAAAATGTAAGGTAGTGACGTATCATTTTCAAAATGTATGGGCTGAATAAGCAATTAGCCCTAAGAGTCACTACCATCTTCTCAGTCTCCCACCAAAGGAGTATAAAACCCCATCTGCGTGCTGTGCACACTTTCCTCTCTGCTACAAAAATGGACGCCGCGCAAGAAGCCCAGAAGAGGGAGGCTTTCCGGCAAGCCGTCGTGAACACGCTTGAGCGCCGCCTGTTTTACATTCCTTCGTTCAAGATCTACCGTGGAGTGGCTGGGCTCTACGATTATGGCCCCCCTGGTTGCGCCGTCAAGGCCAACGTCCTCGCTTTCTGGCGCCAGGTGGCCGCGTTTATCTGAATTTCTTGGATTTTTCTTCTTCTTCTTCTTATTGATTGTTTAACGGTATTATTGTACTCATTCACTAATAATTGACTTTCTCGAATTTTGTGTTCTCTTAGCTGTGAGTGTGCGAGTTCTTTATTTGCTTGTTGAATGGGGTTTTGTTTCTGTTGATAGATTGTGGTAGTTGCTTTTTTTTTAGCATGGGGTACCATGATAAAGGTTGGATAGCAGTGGGATGTGAGCACAGGATATTTCTTGAACTTTGTCCTTCTCTTGAGCAAATAATGTTGTTTTCTGCCGATTATTTCTCTGCTTTTAGTGGCATATATACTTGTAGTTGAATGATTGAATGCCTGCTATTTACTTTGCTGTTTATTTAATGCCAAAGTTATAGTCTGTGATGCCTGGTGCTAATGAGTATTCAAATTCTCTTCTCAAATGTTATAATTACTATACCACATTTGGATGTGTTTACAAAGATTCATGATGAGCCACATTTTTTGTTTATTCTTTTGATGTGCTTCTTGTTGTGGCTCTTATAGAATATAAATTTAATTACATTCTTGTTCGTCTGCCTACTTTGAGTTTGCTGTTGTAAACCCATTTAATTTGCAGCATTTTGTACTCGAAGAGAACATGTTGGAAGTTGATTGCCCGTGTGTTACCCCTGAGGTAGTCCTGAAGGCATCAGGTCATGTTGAAAAGTTCACTGACCTTATGGTCAAAGATGATAAAACTGGAACATGCTACCGAGCAGATCATTTGCTCAAGGATTATTGCAAAGAGAAGCTTGAGAAAGATAATAACTTGAGCGCCGAGAAGACAGCAGAACTGAAGCATGTGCTTGCCATGTTGGACGATTTCTCTCCTGAAGAGCTTGGTGCAAAGATCAAAGGATATGGAATAACTGCTCCTGACACAAAAAATGCACTCTCTGACCCTTATCCTTTCAATTTAATGTTTCAGACGTCAATAGGCCCATCTGGATTAAGCCACGGGTGAGAATGCTTTTATAGTTAGAAGCATTAAATCTTCCTTAATCATTGAATTGAAGGATAACTACCATACCACCCTTGAGATTCAGTCTAATGACATTATGACAGAGACTCTAATTGTCTTTAACAATTTTGAATATCCTCTTGAGATTTGAGATCTTTGTTTTTCTAATAAATTCCATCCTCTTGATTGGGCCATATCTAAGATCAATAAAGGATGCCTAGTGGGTCTTGTAATATTGAAAAATTGGGTGTCTTCTTTGTAAGGATATAAACCTCAAGAGTATTTTTTACTATCCACTGAATTGAATCTCTCTCTTTTTGGGTTTGGTTTTTCTTTATGCTTATTCTCCATGCTTACTTTCTGCAGATACATGCGTCCTGAGACTGCTCAGGGTATTTTTGTTAACTTTAAGGACTTATACTACTACAACGGCAACAAGCTTCCATTTGCAGCTGCACAGATTGGCCAAGCTTTTAGAAATGAGGTCTTTTTAATGTCATAACTTATATTAACTTATTTTTCTGCATCTGTTAGTTGTTTGGGCATTCAGATGATCATGAACTCAATTGAACCGTAGGTATAGTATTAGTTTGAATGGACTATTACTATACCATCAACCTTGGTGTATTTTCTGGCTACTAAGGAATGTGATTTTACAACACATGAAAGAAACATGTTGCTAAAATGATATTCTGTGGCCTCAATATGCTAATGCTCTTATGTAAATTTTGTGGGAAAACGAACTCTTATAGTAGAGTGTTCATGAGGGGAATCAGTGCACAACTTGCAGTGAACTCAAGTTTTATTAGCTTTTCGGAACATTCTTTCAAATCTACTTGGTTTAGCTTGTAGTTAATCAGTGGTTCACAAACATGATACCTAAAGTAACTTCTACAGCTTCATAATGTGTTCTGTTTCCTCTCTTTTATCTCTTTATTATTGGCTTGATCTCATAGCATGTTGCAATTACTTATAATTTTGTGCGCATTTAGTGCACACAAGGTCAGTCAGGTTTATGACAAGTGACTAACTGAAGGCAGAAATGAAATTTACATGTGAAGTTTTGGGTGCACATTTGCTTGTCATTCCAGTTAATTGAAAGTTAATTGCTAAAAATGTTTGCAAATCCATAAGCTCACTGTTTATCTATACACTACAGAACTCAGACTTTCTTTATTGTTCACTTTTTTTTCTTAAAAACAAGTTTCTGCCCGACACTTGTATGGTTAACATCATCACATGCATCGAATTTCCAGATCTCTCCACGCCAAGGTCTCTTAAGGGTCCGTGAATTCACGCTGGCTGAGATTGAACATTTTGTGGATCCTGAAGACAAGTCACATCCCAAATTCTCTGAAGTTTCAAAATTGGAGTTTTTAATGTTTCCGAGGGAAGATCAGGTGTCTGCAAAACAAGCCAGGAGAATAGTAATAGAGGAAGCAGTTTCTCAGGTTGGTCTATTAGAAAAATTCCAATCATGTTTGCTTCTTTTACTCTTGTGTCCAAAATGATTATCTGCTAACTTTAATCCCTCTACCTGAATGGTCCAGGGTATTGTCAATAATGAAACACTCGGCTATTTCATAGGAAGAGTGTACTTGTTTCTAACCCAACTTGGAATTGATAAAGACCGTCTTCGGTTCCGCCAGCATTTGGCCAATGAGATGGCACACTATGCTGCCGACTGTTGGGATGCTGAAATTGAATGCTCATATGGATGGATCGAGTGTGTTGGTATAGCTGATAGATCGGCGTTCGATTTACGTGCTCACACAGTAAGGGTCTTTTGAAGTCTGAATATTCTTGGTGCTTATCCTATTCCTTAAGCGTGTTGTTTATTTAGCTTATAAGGCCTCAACTACTTTTTCTATTTAAGTAAATTACACAGTATTCCCTAAGCTGCTAATTCATCTGCTATGTGTATTTTATTTGATTTTGTAACCTGGATTAATGAAAAACTGCTAATGCATCTGCAATTCATGGCACATGATGAATGATATTTAACATGAGATTGCTCGGGTGGGAAAGTGAGGAAAAACACCTAGTTCAGAGATTAACGTGCAACAAATAATAGTTTTGTGAGCAAAGTGCAAAACTTCCACAATCATTTCCTACAAAAATAAGAATAAAAAATAGATAATGACATTCACTCCTTTTCCCCTTTTTAGTAGATCTGATTTGTTTTGAGTTTGGTATGCTGCTAGTGTGACTGATGATGATAATGTTTAACTTCTTTCTTTGCAGGATAAAAGTGGTGTACCCCTGGTGGCACATGAAAAATATGCCGAACCCAAAGAAGTAGAGGTCTCTCATCCCTGCTTTCTTTCCTCTCTCCCTTAGTTTATTCTATTTCACTATGGGCATGTACCCTCTTATTGATTTAAACTTATCACATGACTTCAAATTTTGGGTGGTGGTGGTGGTGATAATGGAATGTTGCTTTGTCGTAAATATGTAGCTCTATTCTTAATGTAGCATTGTATACATTTCTCTTCATGGATTTTGATATGTAGTAATCAAAACACTTTCTCTAATGTTGTTTTGTTCTTTTTCAGAAGCTTGTCATAGCTCCAGTCAAGAAGGAGCTGGGTCTTGCCTTCAAGGGTAACCAAAAGATGGTGGTTGAAGCATTAGAGGTAAGACCATTACCATGCTTTGTTACCCTTACTCTGTTTTAGATATTCTTCTTCGTAAGTACGCAAAATGGTGTACTGAGAGAATATGCTTGATATTGACGTTTGACTGGCAGGGGGGTTGATCTTCGTGGGATAGACTAACATTTAGGAATTTTTAGGAAACAACTAAAGGAAAAATTCCCACAATATTTAGCCTAATCATGGAAAGTCCAGTTGTCTTTCAGAATTTCAGTTACCCCCTGAAGTTCTTAAGGATAATCCTCCCTTGAGGCATGTGTTAGTTTAGCAGACGACCCCCAGCAAGCCCAATATGTAAAATAGGTGCATGCAAAGGATATTTGGGATCATTCAGTGAACTTAAACTGGAGAGGTGGAACTGTANCAAACAGTTTTCATGCACGCAAATAAAACCTTTTTTCTCAATCTGAAAAACAAGATTTAAAGAAATAAACCAATGGAGGAAGAATTGCACGCTAAATACACAAAAAGCTGAACAAGGGAGAAAAAACTACAAATTCAAAAGCGAATGACAAACTCTCACATATTTACAAATAATTATAAAAACAAGGAGGAAAAGTAATAATTATTGGCATCCGGTCCTGGTGCAGAAATAGAAGATAATGTCAAACTTGAACAGTAATTTGTCACCAAAAAGAAGTGGATAAACCGATTTTCAAAGAAGTAAAATAGAACAAATATAAACAATTGTATTTGCATGCTATGTGGTATGGTGGTGGTGGGCTGCGAGGGTTCGAGCGCGCTTAGGGTTATGAGGAGAATTAGTAAATTAGGTTTGGCAGTAAAGGAGCCCGATTGTTGTCTGTGAAAGAAAAGTAAATATTTATCAAACTCCACACCTAACGACGTTTCCATTGAGGTATGTAAGAAACTGCCCCATGTCGCCTAGAGAAGGGCTCATGCATCCTCATATAAGATCAGAGAGAGAATTTCCAACTTCATGTTCATTTGTTTTAGTATACCTGCTAATTAGGATGCTAGAATTGAATGTGATGGCACAATATAATACATTATTTCTTGAGTTCATCATCAATCAACTCTGTTCCTTTACTTAATTTTTGTTATATTATCTTTTTTAAAGGCTATGGGGGAAAAGGAAGCTATGGAGTTGAAAGCAGCTCTTGAGTCCAAGGGAGAGGCAGAGTTTAGAGTCTGTACTCTTGATAAGGTCGTGACTATAAAGAAAAACATGGTATCCATATCAAAAGAGAAGAAGAAGGAACATCAAAGGGTTTTCACACCATCTGTTATTGAACCATCGTTCGGTATCGGGAGAATCATATACTGCCTGTATGAACATTCATTCTATATGAGAGCCAGTAAAGATGGTGACGAGCAGTTGAATGTCTTCCGTTTTCCTCCGCTAGTGGCCCCCATTAAATGTACGGTGTTCCCTCTGGTTCAGAATCAACAGTATGAGGAAGTTGCTAAGAAGATTGCCAAATCACTAACTGCTGTTGGGATTTCATACAAGATTGATATAACAGGTATATGCTATCTAATAGCCAGCCTGTTGTTATTTGTTCTGTTTCAGTGCATATCTAATTCTGAAGAAGCAAAAGTGGCAATGACTTTTTTTCATCCTTATCTCCTATTTTTCCGTCTTCCATGTAACTGAAGATTAGGGACTAATAATAATCTCCTGAGTTGACTAAATGGGTGTTTGGCTATGCCCGAGAGTCTGAAAGTGTATGTTTAATTTTGTTTTTCTTGTAGGAAAATCTTGCAAGTTCCTAAAATAAGATGTTAGAAGCTTATAATTTTCTCTAGGTGATTCAATCATTTGGCTTTCTCTTGCACCATTGGCCAGTGACTAGTTTTAGGTGTCTATCTAAGCCATGCATATTCTCTTGGAGCAGCAATTTTATTGTGTCTCAAACTATCGATTTTGGCTTAAGATAGCCAGCTTGAGCTTGTTTCTGTTGATCTGAAATAATTCAAATCCAGATCTTGTTCAAGCTAGATAATTGCACGTATATCTCTAGTTGAAATCATGAGATAATGTTTGCGCAATGATAAGCTGCTGCTTAGAAGTAAAACTTTATTTTTTTCCACACTTGTTTGGTCATAAATTTCATCATTTGGCCCAGCAAGGCAAGTTAATCAATTTGCTTCAATGATTTGAGTTTTTCTTTTTTTTTTTTTTTTAACGCAACAAGCACGACTCTTCGGTAAAACTAGCCATATTCACATGTGTTATATATAATTATGCAGGTACCTCAATAGGAAAAAGATATGCAAGAACAGATGAACTCGGAGTTCCACTTGCCATAACTGTTGACTCGACAACCTCTGTCACCGTCCGAGAAAGAGACAGCAAACAGCAGATTCGTGTGAATGTTGATGAGGTGGCGTCTCTGGTTAAATCGGTGACTGACGGTGTGAGCACTTGGGCTGATATATTGTGGAAATATCCTACTCATTCCTCTTGATCAAAACTATGGCCTGATTTTCAGGTTTTGGTTTTAAAGTTTACTTCAGAACTTGAAACTGAATTCTTCATACATCTATTTTTTGGCGAGACTGTTATACTCTCACTTAAAAGAGAAAACTCGTTTGGGATTTTGTACTCCATTGGTTCCATAAAAATTTTATGACCAGTTTTTCCAAATTAGACTTTTGATTGCATACATGATGTTTGGAAGCCCTATTTGTTTTTTACTCGTATGAATCGTGTGCTGAACCAAACTATGTGCAGACCATGGTTTTGTGACGTGAGATTTACAATGGTAGGGAACATTTTATCTCGGTGTTCTATTTCAGTCACCTTCTTCACATTCTGTCACCAATTCAGATGGATCTTAGCGATCGAAAGGTGAAATGTGTGGAACAATAGTTGATTTT